TAGAGTGTAAATGGCGTCAGACTAAACTTGAGGTTTTCCAATCTGCCTGGAAGGAGAGTCTTATAGCCTATAGAAAAGCACTAAAGTCAGCACGTTCAGCCTATCTCTCGTCAATGATTGGAAATAACAAGAATAATCCTAGGCTACTATTCAGTACAATCTCTAAATTGACTAATAATCAAGCAGCTACTGAAGCCCAGATACCATCAGCCTACAGCAGCAATGACTTCATGAACTTCTTTAATAATAAAATTGAATCGATTAGGCACAAAATTCAAAATGCGCAGCTAACAAGTGCAGTGTCCTATAAACCTAATTTAGATCTAGAGTGCAGTATAACCACTACAGAGACGCTGGAGTCTTTTACAGAGCTTGTCCAAATTATTTCATCTTCAAAACTAACAACTTGTATACTAGATCCAATTCCTACCGGTTTACTTAAAGACATTTTGCCAGAAATAACCAAGCCTTTTCTATCTATAATAAACTCTTCTCTTAGCCACGGCTATGTTCCAAAGTCTCTTAAATTAGGTGTAATTAAACCCCTAATTAAGAAAGCTAGTCTTGATCCCTCTGAGTTATCAAACTATAGACCTATTTCAAATCTTCCCTTTTTATCAAAAAATTTAGAGAAAGGTGTGGCAAAACAATTATGTTCTCATCTGCATAGAAGTGATATATATGAAAAATTTCGGTCTGGCTTCAGGCCTCACCATAGTACTGAAACAGCGTTAGTGGAAATTGTAAATGATCTTTTATTATCCTCTGACAAAGGAAACATATCCTTACTGGTTTTACTTGATCTTAGTGCAGACTTTGACACAATAGACCATTCCATTCTATTAGACAGGCTTAAAAATCTAGTAGGAGTGACAGGTAAAGCTCTTTTGTGGTTCAAATCTTACCTTAGTGATCGCTTTGAGTTTGTTAATGTAAATGGTGAATGATCAGCTCTCACAAGAGTAAAGTATGGTGTCCCACAGGGCTCTGTCTTATTATTTGTCTTATTATTTACCTTATATATGCTACCACTAGGTACCATCATTAGAAAACATGGCATCAGTTTCCACTGCTACACCGATGATACACAATTGTATATTTCAGCCAAACCAGAGGACAAAATTGAACTTAATAAGATAGAGGACTGTGTCAAAGACATTAAAGACTGGATGTCAAGTAACTTCCTCTTACTAAACTCAGACAAAGCAGAAGTTCTTCTTCTTGGTCCAAAAGCTGCTAGGAATAATCTGCCTACATTAACTCTTAATCTCAATACTTTCTCAGTTGCACCAGGCACATCTGTAAAAAGCCTTGGTGTCACGATCGATCCAGATCTGTCCTTCGATGAGCATATTACCAATATTACCAGAATAGCTTTCCTCCACCTTCGTAACATCGCTAAATTAAGAAATGCACTGTCACTACAGGATGCAGAAACATTAGTCCACGCCTTTATCGTGTCCAGGTTAGATTACTGTAACGCTCTGCTTTCTGGTTGTTCCAGCCAAAACCTTAACAAGCTTCAGTTAGTCCAGAACGCTGCAGCCAGAGTTCTCACCAAAACCAGGAAATTCGAACACATTAGCCCAATTTTGTGCACCTTACATTGGTTGCCAGTTAAATTCCGCATTGAGTACAAAATTCTTCTACTGATGTATAAGCTTTGAATGGCCTTGCTCCTCAGTACCTCAGTGACCTTATTTCCTATTATCAACCGACACGCCCACTTAGATCACAAGGTGCTGCTCATTATTAGTACCTAGAATAAATAAAGTTACGTCAGGGGTAAGAGCCTTTTCATACAACGCCCCCCAGCTTTTAGAGGGTCTAATGTGAACACCACTCAATCACGTCCCAGGGGGACCTGATGCGGTACAGAAGTGTAAAACTGTATCCACTTATACTGTTTTGTGTCCGTGCTGTTATCCGGTGTCGACCAGGGGAGGATGGGTTCCCCTTTTGAGTCTGGTTCCTCTCAAGGTTTCTTCCTCCTGTTGAGGGAGTTTTTCCTTGCCACTGTCGCCAAGGCTTGCTCACTGGGGGCGTGGACCAGGATTCTCTGTAAAGCTGCTTTGTGACAACATCTGTTGTAAAAGGCGCTATATAAATAAATTTGACTTAAATTATATTTCAAATGAAAGTGAGAACACAGCAGATTCTCGATCATCTCCCACTGGCATCTGAGGCAGTCCACTTTGCTTTTGAGGAAGTGTACATAAAGGCCGGTCTTTTGGGGTCATGCAGCCTCACATGGACACCAGAGCAATTGCTGCACTTTTGTTTCCTCTTGTTCTGCCTCAGAAGCTGCCTTACTGTTAAACGACAAAAATAGGTTTCCTTAAACATCTAAAATGGTTTTACTTGAAAATATATACACTATATGGACAAAAGTGTCAGGACACCTACACATTACACCCACAGGAGCTTTTATGACATCCCATTCTAAATCCATAAGCATTAATTGGCCCTCCCTTTGCAGCTATAACAGCTTCCACTCTTCTGGGAAGCTTTCTACAAGATTTTGGAGAGGGTCTGTGGGAATTTTTCCCCATTCATCCAAAAGAGCATTTGTGAGGTCAGACACTGATGTTGGATGAGAGGGCCTGGCTCGCAATCTCCGTTCTAGTTCATCCTAAAGGCGTTTGATGGGGTTAAGGTCAGGGATCTGTGTGGGCCACCAGACTCACCCAGCCATGCCTTTATGGACCTTACTTTGTGCCCTGGGGCTCAGTAATGCTGGAACAGTAAAGGGCCTTCCCCAAACCAGTTACACAAAGTCGGAAGCATAAAATTGTCCAAAATGTCTTGGTATGCTAAAGCATTAAAATTTCCCTTCACTGGAACTAAGGATGCTTAGTGCTTTACACCACTCTCTCTTCAATCTGCTTCGTGGCTAAGCTGTTGTTGCTCCTCGATGCTTCCATTTCACAATAATAGCACTTACAGTTGACAGGGGCATCTAGCAGGACTTGTGGCAGACTTGTGGCAGACACTGGTCTTTATCTATGTTTTGGAAACAATTGACTGTCGGAATCTAATTGGAATTGGATTCTGGCATCAAACAGCCCTAATAATTAGTCTCATTCTCTCTGGGTAGGCAGGATAGACCTCCTTCTCCCACCATCTGCAGCAGTTTGCATTGAAAAAAATGTGTTTGTGTTGAAAAAACATCATTTCACACCTCATAGCGTTATGCAGCCAATGACGGCATGAAGCCACATAAACATTGGTATGGTGACCGTGGTGCCAGCAAAAATGAATGATTAACAGAAGAAAGTCTTAGCAGTGTGAACTGTTTATTTACAGTGGACAAAGTCAAAAGGATGCTCTGCACTCTTAATTTTGTTGTAATGATGGGTTTGTCTGGAATTCAACAAGGTTTGGCGTCTATGGCTCTCAAAAAATTAACAGCTGGTTTATTTTACTTCTGCGTTCAATGGCAAAAGTTGGGAAAGCTGAACTCTTCACGGAGCATTCCACTAACTGCTGCAATCTGCGGACAGCTGCTGCTTGCGGTGGCAGAATTTTCCATTGTGGCTCCACTGAAAACAATGGAATATCCGGTTTGCCGTCATCCATCTATCACAAGCATGGGGATGCAGCATCAGTCAGCCATCATTAATAAAGCATTAATTATGCATTTACTAATTAATGTATCTTGCTGTGATATGCTAATTTACTCAGCAAATAGGAGAGTGAATGTGCACTGGGTCCCTTTAGCAGATCTTCTCTCTGAGCTACGTTATGAAGTAGACTATGCAAAGGTAAGATCAGTTAACCCCTTAAATGGCCAGGGCCCACTGCAGTCCCAAAGTTTTATTACATGCTTATAAAACCTAAGAATAGCTCAGACAGTTTGCATTGAATCCCTGTAGTTACTGAATAATAAGCCTTAGTATGTAATAACAATCAAAATTAGTTAGATATAATCATTGATCATGACAATTAATTACTTTTAACAGTTGAATGCACACGTGTTGTATGTTACCTTATAGCATGCTGACTGGCTAGCTTTCTAATAATTAGACCTATGTATAAACTGTAGTGAGTGTAACCTAAATTAATAACTTCTGTGTCCAGTCACACACACACACACACACACACACACACACACACACACACATATCTTCTAAGCCGCTTATCCCTCTGGGTCATGGGGGCAGCTGGAGCCTATCCCAACATTCACTGGGTGGAAGGCAGGATACACCCTGGACAGGTCACCAGTTCATCGCAGGGCAGACAGACAGACATATATATTCACACCCACACTCAATTCAGCATGTCCAATTGGCCTGACTGCCTTTGGACTGTGGGAGGAAACCGGAGAACCCAGAGAAAACCCAAGCAGACATGGGGAGAACATGTAAACTCCTGTGTCCAGTCTATGTAAAATATATATTTTTTAAAGTTAACATGCACTAAATAAAGTAATGCGTTAAATTTACTTGATTCAAAGACATCATTTCCTCATGAATGACTAAAATATGTTACGTCAACAGATGTAACCAGTAGTATTTGCATTAAAAAAAAATTCATGTGGAAATGATGGAGAGATTTATTTGTGTACACATTTGTCATTTTAATACACTAAAAATATTATTTTCTAAGCACCCCAATAAAATTTCTGAGTCTTACCTGGCCACCCCATTATAAAAGAGCTACGTCCTAGATTCAGTGTATGGTTAGCTGGGGTTGGGCTGCACATTGACTCATCTAATGGGACATGCTGTAAAAGCAGAGCAGTATGAATCAGTGCTGTTTTTATGTTTATTTGATGTAAACAAGTTGGCTAGTGAATATTATAGTAATTCTCTTACATCCAAAATTGCCTTTTGTCCATGCTCTGAATCTTTGGCTCCTCAGTAATGGCCTGTAATAAGGTGTGACTGAGAAAACTGCCCATGTTTATTAAGGATACATGAGAATTGAAACAGCCAGTGGTGTACTGAGGTCATCCAGTGTGGTCACACAGGGTGGTGGGGGGAGGGGATGATGACTTTTCTTTTGCTCTTCCTCTTTTTTACTGCACCATGCTAAACCACAAAGCAACTAGAACGCTCTAAATGAACACTCAGTTCGCTGCCTTATTTTGTAGTTGTTAGGAGATTAAAACTTTCTTCACGCTGACATTGCTGCTTGATAGACGATTTCTTCAGACTGCAGTCTTTGCAGGGTGAACTTTCGCTGTCGAAGGGTAAGCATGAATAAAAAACAAAATATTTATCATCGCTAGTATCATCGCTGTCCTAACAAAACATCAGTGACTATATAGGAAGATGGAAGAACTTTAATGTATGTTTAGCAATTTCAAACCTTTTTGGTTCGTCATGGAATGTGTACCTGATGTGAAGGGCAGTTGGTGGTTGCAAATGTTATAGAAAAGTGACAAGGTTTTAAAATGGCAGTGATGATATCAATGCATGTCTGATCACAGACGAAAGCAGTGAAACACAAGTTTGGCATGTGGCTGTTGTGAACTTCTCTTCTAATGTGAACTGCTCTTCAACGTGCATGCCTGGTTAGGTTAAGTTCCTTGTGAGGAACGTGAAGAATTGGTTATTTTTCTTTTCAGTATTGTTTAAAGTATTACTTGATGATTTGAGACTAACAAAGTAGTGCTTGTACTACCTGTTTTGGTAAAAAACTGATACAAAAAGTTTGGAAGTACACCTGTGCTGGTAACGTATGTCAGTAAAGTTGTGGCTATTACCTTTAATGTGACCACGAAACTGTAATTAATCTACAACCTTGTTTCCAAAAAACTAGAACGCTGGGCAAAATATGAATAAATACCGAATGCAATGTGCTAATGATTTAAACTCTACATTTGACTGAAAATAGTACAAAGACAACATATCAAATGTTGAAACTGAGAAAAAATATTGTTTTTTAAACAAAAACATTGGCCCATTTTGAAATTGATGCCAACATTATGTTTCAAAAAGTTGGGACAGGCATATGTTCACCACTGTGTTTTATCACCTCTTCTTTTAACAACACTCTGTAAGTGTTTGGGAACTGAGGAGACCAAATGCTGTAGTTTTGAAAGTGAAATGTCTTCCCATTCTTGCTTGATATAGGATTTCAGTTGCGCAACAGTTCAGGGTTTCCTTTGTCATATTTTTTGTTGTAATGCACCAATATTTTCACTGAGGGACAGTTCTGGACTGCAGGTAGGCCAACTTAGCACCCAGACTCTGTTACCATAGATCCATACTTTTGTAACATGTGCAGAATGTGGTTTGACATTGTCTTACTGAAATAAAGTCCTTCCCTGAAAAAGACGTCATCTGGATGGCAGCACATGTTGCTCCAAAACCTGAATATATCATTCAGCATTAATGGTGCCTTCACAGATGTGCAGGTCTCCCATGCCATATGCACCAATGCACCCCATACTATCACAGATGTTGGCTTTTGAACTGTGTGCTTATAACAAGCTGGATGGTTCCTGTTCTCTTTAGCCCAGAGAATGTGGTGTCCATGATTTCTAGAAAGAATTTCAAATTTTAATTCATCAGACAACAGGACACTTTTCCATTTCTCCTCAGTTCATCTTAAATCAGCTTGGGTTCAGAGAAGGCGGCGGTGTTTATATATGGTTTCTTCTTTGCGTAGTAGAGTTTTAATTTGTATCTGTGAATGCAGTGATAAAAGTGCTCCAGGGCCCAAGCAGCGATTCCCACTACAGAATCATGTTTGGTTTTAATGCAGTGCCGCCTGAGGGCCATGACCAGCCAGTATTGGTTTTCGGCCTTGTCCCTTGCATACAAAGATTTCTCTGCAGTCTTTTAATGATATTTTCTACTGTAGATGATGAAATCCCCAAGTTCTTTGCTATTTTACATTGAGAACCATTCTTGAATTGTTGCACTATTTGCCTACACAGTTTTTCACAGAGTGGTAAACCCCTCGTCTTCTTCACTTCTGAAAGACTCAGCCTCTCTGGGATGCTTTTTTTTATACCAAATCATGTTACTGACCTGTTGCCAACTAAACTAATTAGTTCTAAAAAAAATCCCACCAGGTGTTTAGCATTACACAACTTTGTCAGTCTTTTGTTGCCCCATCTCAATTTTTTTTAAAGTGTTGCTGGCATCAGATTCAAAATAGACATATGTTTTCCCCAGAACAATACATTTTCTCAGTTTCAGCATTTGACATTTTGTCTTTGTACCATTTTCAGTTAAATATAGGGTTTAAATTATTTACACATCATTGCATTCTGTTTTTATTAACATTTTGCACAGCATCCCAACTTTTTGGAAATGGTGTTGTAGTAGTAAATAATGGAATTGCAAATGTCGCACAGACCTAACCTTCTGTGGCTGTAGTGTATGTAGCTTAGCCTGCTGCATTTGTCCAAGGCTGTTTTGCCTGATGTCAAGTTGTGCAATAACTGAGGTATGACAGTGTTTTTCTCGAAGCTGTTTTGTCTGATACCTGAAACCCGACACTGTGGCTGTAGGATGTCATAAAAAGAAACTACATAACATGATAAAACATCTTTGTTCAAGCATGATATCTGCCTGCTGCTATGGCATATAGAGGGTCCCCCAAGCCTGTGTCATCTAGGTTAGGTGCAATAAACATGATTTTAATGTAAGATATCATATGATCTATGAGCAATGTTTTATAAACCATCAGTCAATTAGTTTTTACTGTCATTGGGTGCTGTTAACACAGTAGCTTGGATAACTACTACTGGGCACAGGCCTAGTAGGAAGTAAGCCACCCTGCTCAAACTGGACTCACACTACTGCTTTGCTTACAGTCTTATTCTTGGTAATGGAAAGAAAGGTTGAAAATATGTCGGTACTCAAATTGCTTGTCAGCAATTAGCATCCTTTATGCTCTCATCGTTTCTGCACAATGAAGTCTATTTTGGCTTCTACTGATGCAAAATTTGAGGAATAAAGAACTGGTTTTAATAATACATAGGCTATAAAATGCACCATAAAACTGATGTCAGCAAAATTACTTTGCAATGATGGCTGGCCTTGTGTGCTTAACAAATCTATTTTAGAAACAAGTGCTGTGGACTGATGAAGTAAAAATGAAACTATTTGGCCCAAACACCAAATATATATTTGGAGAAAAAAAGAGCAGCAATTAATGAAAAGAACACCAAATGTTAAGCATGAGCTGGATCTGTTATGCTTTGGGGTTGTGTGTCAGTCAGTGGCTCAGGAAACATTGCATGGGTGGATAGAAGAATGAATTCCACCACTAAATATATGCAAATTTTGGAAGCAAATGTGACACAGTCAAGAAACTGAAGCTGATAAGAGACTTGGTTCTACAACATGAATATAATTCAAAGCTTACCCTAAAAACCCACCATGAACTACTTAGAGAAACACAAGCCGAAGCTTTACAGACCTTGAGTTGAACATCAGTGAAAATCTGTAGGTAGATCTTAAACACACTGTGCATGCAAGAATATTCCAGAACAATTGCACATATCACATTTTTGAAAGTTTTTATTCTGTTTTTTTTAAGTTCATCAAATAAAAACTAACGGCACATTAACATTTGTAGAAAAATAGTTTCAAAATAGTTTGCTGTAGAAGTTGTGTTTACTTTTTTATTAAAAAAAAAACAACAAAACATGTAAATGAGTCAGGAATGCTCAAACATTTGCCTACAACTGTACAGACAGGTGACAAATTAAAGTAAAAAAAACTTGAAGTGATTGGAAAAACATAGCAAGTGTAGACACCTCTAGACAGATGTACTGCATGATGCAATTAAGCAGTTAACGTCCTCTGTGGAAAAAATGCAGGGCAGGTCCAGTTAACCTCAATTTTATATTAAGAAAGCAAAAAAGCTGAAAAGGGTTCATTACTGAAGCGTGAAAGGCAGGAGCTTCGGTCACAAAGACTAGCGCTTTGATAGGAGCAGTGACTAAATTGACATTTGCATTTAGGTCTATGAGAACATAAACAGGGGTGGAAATTGTGGCTGAAAGTGTACATTCGGTGAACGTGATGCTTATGTGTTAATCTGATATGTAAGGGAAAACAGAAGAGCAACTGTTCCTCAGGTGACCGAGAGTGTCAATACAGGATGTGACCAGACTGTGTCAGCAAGAACTGTCCGTCCACAACCACATAGAGAGGGATGTTATGGTAGGGCTGCAGTTCATAAACATAACAAAGATGAATGACCATTTTAGAGTTCAGTGGTGTTTAAAAAACAAGCATTGATCTACAAAGCCGGGGAATAAGTGATGTATGGTCAGATGAGTAATCCTTCATATTCTCCACAAGTTGGCAAGACCACCAAAAGGATAGAACAGGCCTGAATTCTTGACCCCTACATTAAGAGGGTCCGGTGGCACTGTTATACTGTGTGTGTGTGTGTGTGTGTTTGTGTGTGTGTGTGTGTGTGTGTTGGGAGGGGGTCAGGCTTGATGAGTAGGAAAATTATGTAAATTATTTGAAATGGCCCTCACCATCACCAGATTTCTATGCATCGAGTAGGTCATGCTGACATCAAAGTGTCTAAGCACTGAAAAATCATGTCAGTCATGTTATATACCCAGAACGGACCTCACAGAGAAGAGAAGAGAAGAGAAGAGAAGAGAAGAGAAGAGAAGAGAAGAGAAGAGAAGAGAAGAGAAGAAATTACAAATAAAGTGAAGAAATGTGGAGAGAATAACTGAAAAGAATAGAAGAAAAAAGAAAGGAGAAGAAAAAGGAGGTGACGAGTGGATACGAAGATAGGTAAAGAGGTAAGATGGGTAAAGAGAAAAAAGCAGAAGAGGAGAAAAGAACTAAAGAGAAGAGAAGAGAAGAGAAGAGAAGAGAAGAGAAGAGAAGAGAAGAGAAGAGAAGAGAGCTAAAGAGAAGAGAAGAGAAGAGAAGAGAAAAAAGCCGAAGAGAAAAGTGCTGAAGAGAAGAAAAAAGAGCCAAAGAGAAGAAAAGAGAAGAAAGCTGCAGAAAAGTGAAAAGAAGAGAAAAAAGCAGAAGAGGAGAAAAGAAAAGAGCTGAAGAGAAGAAAAAATAGCTGAAGAGAAGAAAAGTGAAAAGAGCTGAAGAGAGAAGAGAAGAGAAGAGAAGAGAAGAGAAGAGAAGAGAAGAGAAGAGAAGAGAAGAGAAGAGAGCATGTAATCAGCAAATTCTTATCTATGTATAATAGCAGCTGGTCCCTGTGTGCACAGGAAACTGAATTTGCACAACATTTTGACACTCATCACTGCTGTCCCGGCAGTGTGTGTGGGGTGCTGTTTGAAGGGAAGTGGTTAAAACCCAACAGTCAGAGCTATAGTGTGATCATTCTTCTCATATCCACAGTTTTCAGTCCTGCTAGCACAATTCAAAACATTGCTATCATCAACTGACTGTGGGAATATTTCTTTTAATTGACAAGTTTATATTCGTAACATTAAAATACAACCAGCAGAACTCGTTCAGATAGTTTAGACTGATAGAATACACCATTAACCTCGAAACGCAGCGGTCACTTTCGGTCGCTAACAACCCACATCTTTGGTTTCCCTCTTTACCTTGTCCATTTTTTTTTTTTTAGAAAAGTTGCATGTTTTAAAGGTTACTTTAACACGAAATGGGTTATGAAGACTAGGAAACGAGTAATGTGTATATGCTGCTTAACCTAGAAAATAAATAGAAGCTATCTCCTGCAGTGGAAAAGCTGCACTATTTCATTTAAACAGCCTGTTTTTGGGAAATAAACTAAAAAAACAGCACAGTTCATATTGAGTTCCCTAAACTAGATGCTGTTCCCGTAAAAAAGTGTTCGCCCCCTCCTGATTTCTTCCATTTTTGCATACTTATCACACTAAACGGTATCACATCCTCATATGAAATGTAATATGAAAGAGAACATGATTAAACACAAAAAAAGTTTTCTATTCATTTATTGAGAGGAAAAAAGTGATGATGAGTCAAACTGATTACCAGACATTCTTCTGCAGGATTTTCAGGTAGAGAGCAGAATTTATGGTTCTGTCAGTTAAGGCCCTGAAGCTGCAAAGCATCCCCACACCTTCATACTACCACCAACATGTTTAATTGTTAGCGCGGTGTTCTTATTGTGGAATGCTGTGTCAGCTGTATGCTAGATGTAACGGGACGCCTGTTTCACTACTGTTTTTCTCCATTTGGAGATAAAGTCACTCACTGTGGAGTCCCAGAGCTTTGAAACTAATTTTGCAACCCTTTCCAGACTGATGTATTTCAGTAACTTCCTTCCTTTCTCGTCTCTTCTAAAATTTCTTTTGGTTGTGGCAGAGTGTGCTGCTTGTGAAGACTGTTTAGCCTCCTTCACATTGCTGGCATGTTTATATTTAAGTGATGTTTAGATTCAACAGGGCTGGCAGTAATTAAGTCTGGGTATGTTTAGACTAATTGATCCTAGTTATAGACTAAGTTTGGTTTATTGTTTGATTGAGGGGGGGGTGATGTAGGGTAATGGTTTTTCACACTGGGCCAGCTAGTATTGGATAAGTTTGTTTGTTTTTTTTCCCCTTCAATAAATGAAATGTTTTTTTTTTTTAAAAAATGTTTTTTGTGTTTAATCAGGTTGTCTTTGTTTTACATGAAATTTTGCTTACAGATCTGAAACAATTAAGTGTGAGGGGTAAATATATTTAATAGCACTGTAAGTCACTGCAGTATCACACAAGGAACAGTAAGAATTGCATAAATAGAATAAAATCAGTGGAGCTTTTTGCTGTGGGCCTTTTTGCATGCTTATTTGAGGGGCCCATATCATTGGAAACTGAATTTCCCTCATTTATTTTTAAATTAAGGTGTTCAAAGTGATGTGAACATTGCTAACATTTCAAACACTCCTCACTCCGTGCAGTCCATATATGAAAACTAACATGCAAAAACAGCCCACTTTGAATTCATTTTTTCTGTGATGTCATGAGAACGAACTCATTTGTATATATCCATTGCATGTATGTCCCGCCTACAGCAGAATTGTTTGAAAAAGGTAATGTAAAAATGAATCATGGCTATTTTTGGTACATAGAACCACACAGGAGTTAGAAGCGGACTCATGAGAAGAAAAAAATAACATAACACATAACATAACACATAATTCCTGATAAACAGACACTTTGAAGAAATGACTCATTACTTTCCAATTAACTATAACTGGTCGCTTTAAAGATTGGAAAGATGGAACAGTTAAAGGGGAATCCCATAAAATTTTGATAATGTCTGCATGGTTAAATGGCTGAGATGTAAAGTCATTCTGAGTGATTTGATGCGAAATGGTCCATTCTAGAGAAACTTACCAAACTTCCCAAGAATTGTTCACAGTGGTGGTGATAAGAGCCAGATGTCTGAAGAGTTTAAAGCTTCTTCAAGTTACATCACAAAGTTATTAAATGAAATTGGTTTTTATGACTATTTTAACACCATCAACATAACATAGAAAACTTAATTGTTGATAGTAAATAAAATGGCTATAATTGACTATATCTGATTATACAGATCTTTCTTTACGTTTTCAATCTTGAAAATTAGTGGAAAGCTCCCCTTTAAAGTGACAACCGAGTGCACAAAAGAGTGGACAATTGAAATACTGAAATATTTGATCTTGTTCTGTGTTGGAGGCTTTTGTATTTGTATTTAATGGCCAGAAACTAAAAAAACAGGTAGTCTTGACTTGCCATTAAAACGTCTCTCTCTCTCTCCCTCTTTCTCTCCGTCCAGCATGGAGGCGATCGGAAAGTTTGACTTCACTGCCACAGCTGACGATGAGCTCAGCTTCAAGAAAGGAGAAACCATTAAGGCAAGATAATCTTTCTGAACCAAATATCTACGCAAACTATCCTCTAGTGCACTGACTCACTGTATAACTGATCAACGAAGCCCTGAAAAAAGGGGGACACTTGTACCCCTACTCATTCATGCAATTATCTAATCAGCCAATCATGTGGCAGCAGCGCAGTGCATGAGATCATGCAGATATGGGCAGCAGCTAAAGGTCATGTTCACATCAACCATCAGAATGGGGGAAAAATGTGATCTCAGTGATTTTTACTGTGGCATGACTGTTGGTGCCAGACAGTCTGGTTTGAGTATTTCTATAACTGCTGATGTTCTGGGAGTTTCACAACAGTCTCTAGAGTTCACTCAGAATGATGCAATAAAGAAAAAACATCCAGTGAGCAGCAGTTCTGTGGACAGAAATGCCTTGTTGGTGAGAGAGGTCAACAGAGACTTGTTCAAGCATACTGTAACATAAATTGAACAAAAGTCGTCCCAAGCTAGTTTCATGAACATGCTCAGGAGGCTCATGGAAGGCGCGCACCCTCCGGAAAAGAGATTTAAAAATTATTATTCATCAGTTCAAGATATGTGGTATGTGTTTATGTATCATTTTGCATTGGGCTTTGGGTGTTTTGTGTTGGGGGGTGGTCTACCATCAAGGTGACGCCTGTGGCTAGTGGTGACTTCCCCCATGAGTTTAGTGCCTTTCTGCCCTGGTGTTTAATAAAGAGCACTACACGTGATGGAATCATGGCCTCCTCTGAGTCTTACTGTCTGCTGATGCCACAGTATAGTATGTGAATAAAGTGCTCAGTGAGTTTAAATTACCTGATGGTGTGCCAGCTGTGATCTATGTGGATTGCAAAGTTAATTTAATACTCTGATTTTAAAAATGAAGGAAAAAACAACCACTAAACAATGTGACTCACATGTAACTATATGATGGCCCGTTCTCTAGTTGTCTCTGGATTGGCAGTCTGTTGAATTGAACTGACACCTTGTGGTCGAAGCTGGTATGGCATGCTTATTGGTAGCCAGTTAGTTCCCCAGTATTTTTTTTTTTTCCTCCTGGTTCACGAGGGGTAAGGGAAAAAGCCACTAGATAGAGAAAAAAAATAAAAGAAGAAATGAAAAAACATCTGAATAACTAAAGTCTACCACATTATGATGCTTCAAAATTTTGACTGTATGAAATTCATCTAGTTTGTGCAGTAAGGCACTATAAAGATCTGTGCTTTTATTATTTATTCATTAATTAATCACTTTCATGAAGTGAAATATACTCTGTTAAACCCTTATAAGTCCCAGTTATTGCCAGTAATATGAAAAAAAATATTAAAATAATATATTTATCAATGCATTTTAGATGATATTCTGAATCTAAGTTCAATGAACATGTTTGTAAGCAGAAGACAAGATATTTTATTATGATATGAGTTTGATGAAAATGTGTGTGTATAGTTGTAACATCCTGCCCTGTTTTGTCCTTGTCTTGTTTGTTTTCCCTACTTGTTTACCTTCTCTGGTATCTCTGCCTATGTGCCTTGGTTTGTTTTGGCTTTCTGCTCCACCTTTGTTCCACCCTTGTATCATCTCCTGCACCTGTGTCTTGTCTACAGCTCCTCATGTAATTGTTTCCAGATGTTTCAGGTTTGTTTCCCCAGTGTTTACACCCTTTCTCTTTGTCCTGTTCCTTGCTTGGCATTATCTCGACTCGTGCAGTGTGTTTGTGACCTTGCATTTGCATGTACCCTTATATATTTAGTGTTAGCCTTCTTGTATTTGGGTTTACTGTTTTCTTAAGTTATCTTTGTCTTGTTTCAATGTTTTCTGGCCCTTTATCTTTAGAGGTAGTTCTTGTTCCATATCATAGATTATCATGCTCACCATGTGGACTTCAATAAACCAAAACACTTGCACTTGCATTCTGCTTCCTTGGCCCAAAAACACCTTTTTATGTTTTTGACACTTAAACAAACAGAAAATGTCAGAAGGGTAGACCCAAACCTGTCAATAGAAAATGGAAATAGCATGTAAATAAAATTCCTTGTTTTTATAATCAGTCTTAAACTTCTCTGCAGATTTTGGGTACCAAGGATGACTGGTACAGAGCCGAAAAGTGCGGCAAGCTTGGATTCGTTCCAAAGAATTACATCAGGCTCAGCATTCCCAGGTGATGTGATACCCTTATATGGCTCATTGAGATGACCTACTGGATGAAAAAGAGAATTCTGGATTCTCAATTGCGTATGAAAAGAGCAAATGATACACAGATTTAGAAGTCTTTAAAGTGGAATTACACCATTTTTTTCAACATGTCTGCATAATTAATTATGCAGAAATTACCCCCTCAAGCAATTATATCCTCAGAAAGTGAAATGCATATTTGATTGGATATTAATTGGAAGATGTACTTACTTACTTACTCTTTTTCCAACTCATGAGCTCCTTTTTTTTGCCTTGGCGATCACTTTTGGCTCTTTCATCGCAGCAATATGTTGTCAAAGTGAGAACTGATTACTTTTCCTAAATAAATAGATCAGCTGATTTTCTGAAATCCTCTGTAAATCAAAGAATTTACAGAGGAGTTCAGAAAATCATCTGATTTCTGAGTTCAGACCCTTACAACTCACAGTCATTGCTCATGATAACAAAAACATTGTGTAATGTGATATTAATTATTTTCTGTTCATAGCTCACTGACACAAGCAGAGAAATTATAATGAAAGTGCAGATTTTACGCTTTCCATCCTCACCACCTTTGGGTGTGTAAGCTGGAGAGGGGATATTTGAATATGATTTTAATATGATGTAACATCATTGTTATGCATAGTTTTGCCGAAAGAAAAAAAAACATCCTTCTTTCCACATAATTTGTCACATTTTTGTCTTCGCTTGACGCTGAAAGAAACTGAAATGTAAATCGAATGTTAATGAGATTCAGTGCATAAGCACTGTTGCAGCACAACAAAAGTAATAACTGTCAGCTTTCTGAATTTTTTCAACTGTTTTGGCTTAGATGTCCGAGTATTCCTCAGCTCCTTGTTGTGAAATTGGATATGACAGCATAGACAGCATACTAAAGTCATTGCTCACTCTGTAGCTGGTATCAGGAGGACATCAGTCGACAAGAGTCTGAAAGCATTCTCATGTCCCAGCCAATAGGGGCCTTCATCATCCGCGACAGCCAGAGTTCTCCAGGAGATTTATCCATCTCAGTCAGGTAAGATACTCACAGTCCAGCACTAACACTATTAGATAGTCAGGAAACAGAAGAAGGTGCACAATACAGCATATCAGCAGTTTATACATGTATTATGTCAATTATTGTTGGTCTGCATTTGTATTAAAACACATCACTTGGCACTTTTGCTGATCCATGACATGCTAAGACGCTGCAAGCTGAAAAAGTCAGCGGAAGTTTTGTATAGAAGTTCTTCATAGAGGAAGCCAACAGGAGTGCATTTTGCGACAAATATTCAGCCAAAATATTCAGTGAGGTTGGATAGAAGACAGCTAGCATTAGCAACTAGCATCTTTTTCAGCAACAAGCATATTTTCTAGCAACCTATTTTAAGCGTACACTCTTAGGCTTTGTTCACACTGCAGGGCAAATCAGTTGTGTTTCTTCTATCTGACTTGTAAGACTACTCAGATTTCAAGTTACAAGTGACCAAATCTGATGTCTATGGTCAGACTGCAGTCGCATCTGCTCGCATATCCACACTGGTTGCCGTAGCAACAATGCACACATGCATATATTCACCAGGTAGGGGAACAACAGCAAACTCTACAGCATTAACTAGCTATACTCTAAAAAGTGATGTATTAAATAGCAACACACTTGTGTTACCTGTTTTAACACTTTTTGTGTCATATTGTGTTAAAAGTAACACAAAATGTGTTGTCTGTAAGTGGGCACAGAAATATTTCAACCAATTTTGTGTTAAAAATAACTATAAGTGTGTCATCTCCAACTGAACGCACTTATGTGTGTAGTTAGAGACAGAATGTGTTGTTTTTTAACGTGACAAAAGTGTAGACTGACCTGCTCAACAAACTGCTAACAAGCAACAGGCTTTAAGATCTTTTAATGAAGCGGTCACCGTATACTACAACACACAAAGTAAAAAATATGTTACCTAAATGGCTGTTAAAAGCTTCTACTCTCCTTGTTTCGATGTTTTCTAGCAATATTTGAATACACACCAGCAACTTTCTTTCTGCACGGTCTGACATCATGAACTGCTGTGCCCCGAATTACAAAACAATAATACATCTAATCTGACTGGTCAAACTGAGTTACACATCCAGAAATCCACCTCTCAGGCTGCCCAAAATCTGTCCTGCTTAAATGGGATTATGCCAAAAAGTTGCATTTGAGCTGCCTGGCCAAAAAAGGCCTTAGATTCACTGCACGTTAAATGATCAGCTTTTCATATCAGTATCGGCCATAGTCAGGGGAGAGTGGGGCACAAACTAACATGGGGTAAAATATAACATAGATATTTTATGTACAACGTGGTTTTGGTCATCTTTTTGTAGTCCCATAGCAAACTTCACCTCTCGCAACAACTAGGCAGATATTGGCCAAGATTCATACTTTTTTCCTCATACCTCAATTTTATTACGGACATGCATGCATGCAAAGGTTGTAAATTCAGTTCAAAAAGTAAAAGCATATCATCTCTTGTTGGCTGTAATTTTGCACCATTTTGAAGCATAATAACCAACTCACAGAGAAGGTTAGCTAGATTAAAGCACAGCCTCCACATGGTGGAGTTAGTTTTAACACAGTGTTATAACAAGATCTACCAAAGTAGACAATGGTAGAAGTCCCTATCCTCCAATATAAATTCAAAACAGTTCATTTTTTGGGGGGAAACCCTACAGATGCCTTGTAAACAAACTATATTTTATATATTGCATATACATCATAACGCTGATGATTCCTCTTCTACTTCATAACCAAAAGTAAATTTGAGTTATTTGTCTTTGTGTTGATTTACCAGACTTTTTAGCAACTTGTGCAACTTGCATCTTACACCTTAGTGTGTTACAGTGCACAGGATTGTGTTAATCCTGCCTGTGGGATAAGTTGGAACATTTACACTCAAACTGCTTTCAGCTGAACTGTTCATAAACGCTAGATGCTAGAAATAAAGTTTAAGGTGTAGGTGGTTTGTATAAAAAATAATAGTCTTACCCAAATATTTTTACATTATTTAGGAAAAAACAAACAGCCAAGTTCAGTGGAGGTCAATGGCATGGCCCTCTTTCTGCTGAGCTATGGCTGCCCCCAGGTGCTTAGCTGCAGTAGTGCACCTTCTTGGCTAATGAATAAACAAAAACAAATAATATTTGGTCTTATCTTTTTGGTTCAGTTGATTTTAAATATTATAAGCAGGTGATGGTAAATATCAAGCTCAATCTAGGTTATAAAAATAAGTAATCTCTTAACCCTGAGCAACATTTTCCGAGGCCTGTCTTATGCTATTTATTTTTTTGCATTATAATTAGCCATAGAAAAAAGAAACAGCATCAACATTATAGTTTTTTCAGCTCACAGACACTCTAGTCCAACACTTTCTGAAAAGAGATCTAAAATGACAACATGTTAATTATCTGTACATGCAAAACGTCCATTTCTGTACATTTCTGATCCAAAAGTGCCCAAATTCATAAAGATATTCTTCATAAAGAGATTTGTAGCTCTATTATCATTTACACATCAAAGGATGATGAATATACATCAGCAACTTTCTTTCTGCACGGTCTGACATCATGAACTGCTGTGCCCCGAATTACAAAACAATAATACATCTAATCTGACTGGTCAAACTGATTACACATCCAGAAATCCACCTCTCAGGCTACCCAAAATCTGTCCTGCTTAAATGGGATTATGCCAAAAAGTTGAATTTGAGCTGCCTGGCCAAAAAAGGCCTTAGATTCACTGCACGTTAAATGATCAGTTTTTCATATCAGTATCGGCCATAGTCAGGGGAGAGTGGGGCACAAACTAACATGGGGTAAAATATAACATAGATATTTTATGTACAACGTGGTTTTGGTCATCTTTTTGTAGACCCATAGCAAACTTTACCTCTCGCAACAATTGGGCACATATTTGCCATGATTCATACTTTTTTCCTCATACCTCAATTTTTATCCCTGATGTGCATGCATGCGGAGGTCGTAAATTCAATTCAAAAAGTAAAAGCATATCATCTCTTGGTGGCTGTAATTTTGCACCATTTTGAAGCATAATAACCAACTCACAGAGAAGGTTAGCTAGATTAAAGCACAGCCTCCACATGGTGGAGTTAGTTTTAACACAGTGTTATAACAAGATCTACCAAAGTAGACAATGGTAGAAGTCCCTATCCTCCAATATAAATTCAAAACAGTTCATTTTTTTGGGGGGAAACCCTACAGATGCCTTGTAAACAAACTATATTTTATATATTGCATATACATCATAACGCTGATGATTCCTCTTCTACTTCATAACCAAAAGTAAATTTGAGTTATTTGTCTTTGTGTTGATTTACCAGATTTTTTAGCAACTTGTGCAACTTGCATCTTACACCTTAGTGTGTTACAGTGCACAGGATTGTGTTAATCCTGCCTGTGGGATAAATTGGAACATTTACACTCAAACTGCTTTCAGCTGAACTGTTCATAAACGCTAGATGCTAGAAATAAAGTTTAAGGTGTAGGTGGTTTGTATAAAAAAATAATAGTCTTACCCAAATATTTTTACATTATTTAGGAAAAAACAAACAGCCAAGTTCAGTGGAGGTCAATGGCATGGCCCTCTTTCTGCTGAGTTATGGCTGCCCCCAGGTGCTTAGCTGCAGTAGTGCACCTTCTTAGCTAATGAATAAACAAAAACAAATAATATTTGGTCTTATCTTTTTAGTTCAGTTGATTTTAAATATTATAAGCAGGTGATGGTAAATATCAAGCTCAATCTAGGTTATAAAAATAATTAATCTCTTAACCCTGAGCAACATTTTCTGAGGCCTGTCTTATGCTATTTATGTTTTTACATTATAATTAACCATAGAAAAAAGAAACAGCATCAACATTATAGTTTTTTCAGCTCACAGACACTCTAGTCCAACACTTTCTGAAAAGAGATCTAAAATGACAACATGTTAATTATCTGTACATGCAAAACGTCCATTTCTGTACATTTCTGATCCAAAAGTGGCCAAATTCATAAAGATATTCTTCATAAAGAGATTTGTAACTCTATTATCATTTACACATCAAAGGATGACATATCTGAGTGACCTAGGGTTTCTTAAAAATGACAACAGCATGGCGTAATAAATGTGTGACTGTCTTTTGTGCGTACTTCTGTACATACTTAATTTGGCCTAGGGTTCACTAGATTAAATGCCTCTCTGTCTTGTTTGTTCAATCACTTTGAGCCACCATCAGAAAAATACTGTAATATACTATAATAATTCTGTATTTTGTTCTTCATCCTTTCAGGCATGAGTTTGACGTGCAGCACTTTAAAGTGTTGCGGGATCCGAAGGGACAGTATTTCCTGTGGAATGAGAAATTCACTTCTCTGAATAAATTAGTGGACTATTATGCACTCAATTCCATCTCCAAGCAGAGCTGCGTCCGCCTCCTCGTAGAACAGCGGGTGAGTCAATAGCAGAGTAGCTGAATAGCTGGACAATAGCATAGAGATACTGTACACTGTATCTGGAAAGACACACAGTATCGGAGAGACTGTACACCATGGACACTCAGCACTTAGATGAGTTATTTTTCATGTTTTATTTCAATTCAATTTGATTTATGTTGCATAGTTATCTAAATATAATTACACAATGACGCAACATAATGAATACAGATGTTTGAACACCCCTGGTCAGTTTACATGTTTTGTCATTTTTCTAACTAAAAATAAGTTCACATCTGTACAGAGAACACACTTAAATATGACATTTTAGTGCACAACTTCTATTTATTTAGAAGTTCTATTTATTATTTATATATATATTTATGATTTGTTGGATGATTTGTTCAAGAAAGCATGTAATTTGATGAGGTGTGCCCAGACTTTGTACAAACACAAAGGTGGTGTAGATTTAATATGAAACTGAGTATAGAATCTGCACTTTCCCTGGTTTTGACTATGATTTCAGGGGTTGTTTAAGCTTTTTCTGCACAGATAAACACTATATCTGATCTGTACTTCTCTCTCTGTGTCTTCCAGAACCCATTAGATGTCACTCAAGAATCCAGACCGTCTCCTCGGGTACTGCCATTTCTCTTTTCTTTAAATGACCTAAAACATACCTAGAGCCTAACGTTTAAAGTGATGGCTGAACCCATCTCTTTGCCCTTGTACTAATGTAGCATCGTTGCAAAACTAAAGATTTAATGTAATAGTATGACATATTATTATCACAAATGAGTTCATTTATTTTGTCTGATTTAATATTTAAACGCTGTTAAAGTTTCAAAGCATACCATTCATTCAGAATTCAGTCTATTTGTGATGTCAGAAAAAAACAGTGCATTTACATATTCAGTCTACAGCAGTAATGGCCCATCCATTCACAGTGAAGTTATAAAGAGTGTTTCAACTGGCAGCCAATCAGAACACAGATTATTGATATATTCCAGTCTTAAAAGGCACAGTTACCAAAGATGTAATTCTCAGGGATAAAGATTTATCCTAGATCTCGCTGATAAATACTCAAGTTATAGCAATAGAGTCTGGCTGCAGACATGCCCTCTCAGCCAGATGCACTCTCAGCCCCGGTGACGTCACGTGCACATGCACTCTCTGCCACAATGGCAGAAGCAGCCCAACCACACGGTAACTTTTGGCTGCTGCTGCTTAGCGATATCATCACTTAATTCATTTTTCGTTCATAACACGGCTAGAAAGTTACATTTAATGTACCTCCCTGTTGAAAAAAATCATAGAACCCATTAAAAGTGTCTGTTGGTTCCTGGTGGTTTTCAGTAGTCGCTAAGGGTATTCTGTGTTTTCCTGATGGGATGATATCACAGTGTAAAGAATTCTGATCGTTTAATCAAGTGCTTTGGGACTGATTCCATATACATTTGATCGTTTCCTAATGGCCTCTAATGGCAACCATCAAGCCAATTGACATTGGGAAGCAAAACCATCAGGTTCCTGCAAACACAGTTACGTTGTGACAAGGTACTGTTTTGGTGCCCACAACGTTGTCTGTTTGGTGCTCTCTACATTGTCACAACGTTGAAATGTAATTCCTCAGAAAGTTATGACAACGCTGTCTGACAACTTTCTAGGTTGTCCTTAATCCTTAATAAGTTCTATTTCAATGAATATTACAGTTTTTGATAACCGGCTCTGTTCGTCTTCAGCGTGGCTTTCATGAGTTTCAGCAGTAGCCTTTTTGTTTTTTCTGCGAATAAACCCGACATTCATGTCGTATCGTTATGGTAGGTTTTATTTTGAAAGTGTCCATATTTAATTACCTTATCATCAGTTGAGCCCAGGTAGAAAAAATGCAAAAAAATGTAGGATATGGACCCTGTAACTCTCTCTCTCTTCCTCCCTCTCTCTCTCTCTCTCTCTCTCTCTCATTTCTAGCCCCGGTTAGAAGTCCCTAACAGAGGCATTTCAGATGCTAGGACGTTTCCTCAGGTACTACCACTGCTTTTTCTCTCGTGTGCTCATTGGTTCACTGCAGCTGTACAGCAAAAATAATAAGAAAGCAATATTATATTATATGAATATATTAATATATTATATTATACATCTTTGTTCACTCCGCAGATTGTCTAGTGAAATGGACATCTGAATAAACTGGTCAAAGGAGTGTGTTTCCCCACGACATGTTAGTTCTGCTTGTACATCATGCCGTAGCCCTCTGCGGTACATTGTTAGTAGAGCTGGTTCACTCCAACCACTTCCTGCTGTTTGGGTACGGAGCTCAAGAGCATCCTCTGCAGCAGTCCTTGACCCTTGCCTTAGATTATAGATAAGTGAACCCACATCCCACCCAGCAGCAGGGTGATCGAAAACGGTTTTGAAAAGGGCATAAAACTGTTTCAGACCTTAAAACTTCACCCTTAGTTGTTTATAATGAAGTGGCCCACTCCTTAGCTTTCCCTGTCAGTAAGGACAGTACAAGATGTATTTGATTGATTGTTGATTTCAGTCTGAAACTGAGGAGGGTGGTATCAATAAGAGTTGATATCACAGTGTAAAGGATTCTGATCATTTAATCAGGTGTTTTGGGACTGATTCCACATACGTTTGATCGTTTCCTAATGGCTTCTAACAGCAGCCATCAAGCCACTTCCTGTTAGGAAGCAAAACCATCAGGTTTTATTTCTAACAGCCCTGCAAACACAGTTACGTTGTAACAAGGTACTGTTTTGGTGCCCACAACATTGTCTGTTTGGTGCTCTCTACATTGTCACAACGTTGAAATGTAATTCCTCAGAAAGTTATGACAACGCTGTCTGACAACTTTCTAGGTTGTCCTTAATCCTTAATAAGTTCTATTTTAATGAATATTACAGTTTTTGATAACCGGCTCTGTTCGTCTTCAGCGTGGCTTTCATGAGTTTCAGCAGTAGCCTTTTTGTTTTTTCTGCGAATAAACCCGACATTCATGTCTTATCATTGTGGTAGGTTTTATTTTGAAAGTGTCCATATTTAATTACCTTATCATCAGTTGAGCCCAGGTAGAAAAAATGCAAGAAAAATGTAGGATATGGACCCTGTAACTCTCTCTCTCTCATTTCTAGCCCCGGTTAGAAGTCCCTAACAGAGGCATTTCAGATGCTAGGACGTTTCCTCAGGTACTACCACTGCTTTTTCTCTTGTGTGCTTATTGGTTCACTGCAGCTGTACAGCAAAAATAATAAGAAAGCAATATTATATTATATGAATATATTAATATATTATATTATACATCTTTGTTCATTCTGCAGATTGTCCAGTGAAATGGACATCTGAATAAACTGGTCAAAGGAGTGTGTTTCCCCACGACATGTTAGTTCTGCTTGTACATCATGCCGTAGCCCTCTGCGGTACATTGTTAGTAGAGCTGGTTCACTCCAACCACTTCCTGCTGTTTGGGCACGGAGCTCAAGAGCATCCTCTGCAGCAGTCCTTGACCCTTGCCTTAGATTATAGATAAGTGAACCCACATCCCACCCAGCAGCAGGGTGATCGAAAACGGTTTTGAAAAGAGCATAAAACTGTTTCAGACCTTAAAACTTCACCCTTAGTTGTTTATAATGAAGTGGCCCACTCCTTAGCTTTCCCTGTCAGTAAGGACAGTACAAGATGTACTTGATTGATTGTTGATTTCAGTCTGAAACTGAGGAGGGTGGTATCAATAAGAGTTGATATCACAGTGTAAAGGATTCTGATCATTTAATCAAGTGTTTTGGGACTGATTCCACATACATTTGATCGTTTCCTAATGGCTTCTAACAGCAGCCATCAAGCCACTTCCTGTTAGGAAGCAAAACCATCAGGTTTTACGTTATGACAAGGTACTGTTTTGGTGCCCACAACGTTGTCTGTTTGGTGCTCTCTACATTGTCACAACGTTGAAATGTAATTCCTCAGAAAGTTATGACAACATTGACAACTTTCTAGGTTGTCCTTAATCCTTAATAAGTTCTATTTTAATGAATATTACAGTTTTTGATAACCGGCTCTGTTCGTCTTCAGCGTGGCTTTCATGAGTTTCAGCAGTAGCCTTTTTGTTTTTTTTTTTTCTGCGAATAAACCCGACATTCACGTCTTATCATTGTGATAGGTTTTATTTTGAAAGTGTCCATATTTAATTACCTTATTATCAGTTGAACCCAGGTAGAAAAAATACAAAAAATTGTAGGATATGGACCCTGTAACTCTCTCTCTCTCATTTCTAGCCCCGGTTCGAAGTTCCTAACAGAGGCATTTCAGATGCTAGGACGTTTCCTCAGGTACTACCACTACTTCTACTCTTGTGTGCTCATTGGTTCACTGCAGCTGTACAGCAAAAATAATAACAAAAAAAACCAATGTTATATTATATGAATACATTAATCCTTATGGTCTACTGTCATTATTGTTGCTGGCATGGTATGTTTAAGTGTTGCTGGTATGGTATGTTTAAGTGTTGCTGATATGCTATGTTTAAGTGTAATTAGACAGTTAATTATACTTATATAATAAATTAACAATTTACATTCTATGCCAAGAGATTAAAGTCTGCACAAAAAAGCAGGACTATACACAAACCATAACTTTCATCAAATAATTAGATATCTTCTACTTCTGATGGTTTAGCTTCTATAGCAGAATTTCTGCTTGTTTCAGTGAGCTACAAGTTATAAATAATGAATATCAAATTACAGCAAGCTTAAGCAATAATTGGTGGTGAGAGTGTAACATAATTAAAAGAAATTCTCTGGAATTAAGTGGTTAACCCCTTAAAATCCCAGGCTTAGTACATACTAATGTATTATTCAGTGACTACAGGAACTCCAATGCAAACCGGCTGAGCTATTCTTAGGCAATAGCAAGTGTGACTCTTAAACCTCTGCCCTCTAACCCCCTTCCCACATCTGAAAAGAGCAGCCTAGTTTACTGTGTGCCTTCCTAAAACAAATATATTGTTAACCCCTCAAGTATGTCACAGTCCCACGGTCTGTGTGGGGGCAACTGAGTGGCCTTACATTGACTAAACACTTCAGCCCGTTCATGATATTCAAGGGGAATAGAAATGATAGAGTCACTCATAGGGCTCTCGACTGATGTGACCAGGCAGGAAATTGATAAACAGTTAGGTAAGCATTAATTACTCCATTTTACTATTTTTCCGGTACACCAGTCATGCTGGGAGAGCCAGTTAAAGCCTAGGATTATTAGGTGTTCTGGAAAGTCTTTTACCAAGAAGGACAAGTTCTCTTTGAGAAACAGATCGGTTTTGAGCCTAACATTTTCTGTGGTCTGTGTGACTGATCCCTCTCCCGGTGGGCTTCCATTCACAGCCTTGATGCAAAGAGGGGTGTGGGAGGTTTTCAGATGAATCTGCAGCTGCTGAGCCATGATGCTCCATGAAGCTTCCAGCAGCCCCAGATTCAGTAGATTCACAGTAGGCTGATACATAAAAGCAGTTGTCTGTTTTCTACAGGAAGCATAATTCGTTTACTTACCTCTGATGTCCCAGCAAACGTACATGGCAGGAAGTGGCCGGCTTGCCCACAATAGAGACAAAGCCGTTCTTGCAATCTCTGCTGCCTCTCTTTCATAGTAAGGTGCTCTTACCAATGTGCACCAGCTCAGGCTCTGTGGTCCAGGCAGCAAATATGATGTCCCTTTAATACATCTTTGTTCACTCCGCAGATTGTCCAGTGACATGGACATCTGAATAAACTGGTCAAAGGAGTGTGTTTCCCCACGACATGTTAGTTCTGCTTGTACATCATGCCGTAACCCTCTGTGGTACATTGTTAGTAGAGCTGGTTCACTCCAACCACTTCCTGCTGTTTGGGTACAGAACTCAAGAGCATCCTCTGCAGCAGTCCTTGACCCTTGCCTTAGATTATAGATAAGTGAACCCACATCCCACCCAGCAGGGTGATCGAAAACGGTTTTGAAAAGGGCATAAAACTGTTTTAGACCTTAAAACTTCACCCTTAGTTGTCCATAATGAAGTGGCCCACTCCTTAGCTTTCCCTGTCAGTAAGGACAGTACATGATGTATTTGATTGATTGTTGATTTCGGTCTGAAACTAAGGAGGGTGGTTAATGTAAATTGTGCACTGCATAAAAAAGCTTTTACATTGTTCTAGAGAGCCATCATGTCTCTCAGGAACAGCGATTAGCACAGGAGAGTGGGGCTGTATTACAGAAACAAACAGTTCAAGATACTATTTTTTACAAAATCAGATTACAGAAGCAAAACTTATCTTAATTTAGGAGTCTTAGCTTATCTCACGGCATCTTAACTTATCTCAAGTTAGGAAATGTTAATCAACTCAATCGAAATCGACAATCAACTGTCATGCCTGTTACCAACCCACCGACCATACGTGCACAGCTGAAACATAAACACATAATCAAAACAAACAAGTTAGTTAGCCAGACAGCTAATGTTAGCTGCTGTTGCCAAAACTGAAGCATGATAAACTTGAAAACTTGAGGTTAAAAATATTGTCATATTTATCAGAGCATCGCCACTCCCCAGTTTCAGTTCCCCGAATGCTTTAGCGGAGCGTGCTAACGCTAATCCTCCTAATAAACAGACACATGTTCAGCTCTCTCCTCATTATTCACCACTATCACTGTAATATTTTATCAGACGAGTTTTCATCAACAATAACACACAAAGGCAATAAGAGGGGACGGTGGAGATCGTGTCTGCAGTGTGTCTGATTTTAGAACGCTCTTTAAAAACCCTCATAAGTCAAAGCACCGTTTTTAATGTAGTTAAACGTCATTATGCTGGTTATAGTGAACTGTGCTGCCTGTTACTGCATAAAACTATAGAAACAGACAGTTAAAACAGAAGTTAAGACCATCTGGGGTTTATCTTAAAGTTAGGACAAAATTTAGGAGATTTAGTCTAGTCAGGATGTTTGTGTAATACTGTTTTCTTATCTGGAGTTAATGGATAAGATTACGAACTTAAGAACTGTTGTTCTGTAATAGTTTCTGTCCTAAATTCGGTCCTAACTGAAGTTGTTGTGGTGACTAAACAAACAAGATAAGATTTCAGACTTAAGAAGTTTCTGTAAGCCCCAGATGCAGAAGCAGTAGGATGAGAGGTTCTGGTTGAGGTGGGCTCTGTTCATGAACTGGCCCTGCTGGAGGACAGTGTTGCAAGGCTCTTCGTACAAGCTGGACCGATTCCTCCAGTTATTGTTCTTGGCGTCTTGATATTGTGGAGATAACGACCTCCAGAGGAACGGGGCGAAATCCCCAGACATATATGTATTTCAACAAAATAACATCTATATTTTTTAAATAGCATCTTCTCATATTTTCGTTTTATTAGTAACACTAAATCCATATTGCTTAACTAGATGTACTGAGTGCAAACCAAAGTTCTTGATGACTTTTTACGTAAAAGGAACACAGCAAGTTAAACCAGCAAAAAGATCCATGTGAACTGTTGGCTTACATGTTTTAAATAGGCCACACACTTCATTTGTTAAGAGTGTAGGGGTTAAGTGGAGGTACAGGTGATGAGAGTGTTTTCATCTGTGCAGGAGAGAGGAGAGAGGATAGAGAGTCAGAGTAGATCAGCAGGCCCACGGTGCCCCCCTCCCCGTCCTGCAGAGACCCTACCACCTCCACAGGTAACAACAAACACACACCTACACACATCAAACAGCCTCTACACAACCACTTCTTACAAAAGGTAACATTTAATAACAAGATTACACACCTGCAGCTTCAGAATCCCACCCACTCAATCTCTCCTTCTCTCTCTCTCTCTCTCTTTCTCTCTCTCTCCTTCTTTCTCTCTCTCTTTCTCTCTCTGTCTCTCTCTCACACACACACAGACTAAAGACTAAAATCCTTTCGCTTTCAGTGAGCCTATACCTTAATCATGTATATTTTATTAATTTTTTCTCTACTAAAACAATCATAACACTACCAAAACTATGCCAAATGTTTCAGTTTTGGTCTAAATTTGTGCAGAACTCAAAAATGCTAGCCAGGACATGACTAATAAACATAGCTTTTAACAGTGGCACACACATAAAATCACAAGATTTTTATTAAAAAGCAAAATTATTTACTAATTAGAAAAATACATTTTTCAGTGGTGACAATTCTTAACGTTACACACTGATTTTCAGACTTTCTGTGGGACACTTTTCAATACTTCAAAACAGCAGGATCTAACTGCTCACCATGTGAGGGACAGGGATGCTGTTTCACTTTCTGCTCTAAAATGCAGGGGCGTGGCTAAAATAAGTCTCTGCCTACAGACTAGAACTCTTTGTATGTCAATAGTGACATGAAAACGTAGGACAATATTTTTTGAATAAAGTTTTGTATTTAAAAATTAAACTCATGATAAATCTAAATCTTTCAACAGGACTTTAAAATAAATTTTAAAAAATGCAAATGCTGTTTTCACAAGTGTAAATTTAGGGGTTAGAGTTTGTGACCAACACCTCTCATTAGAAAATATCCTTTAAATGATGATTTTGTATATTTAGCCTGGGCATATACTACGTGATTTTCTGCCCGGTTTTAAGCCTAATTTGCCCCTTTGCAATTTCAGCTTGGCTTCCAGTTTGTACTGAAATATTTCTCCAGCTCTCACCATGTCAGCGTTTCTCAACCCAATATTAATTGGATGTATTTATCTATTTACCACAGGAAAAAAATCCTGATCAGACAATTTTCCATGGGACATTTCAAGATCTTAACTCTTTAGTTTCCAACCCAAACTTAAAAAAATAAAAAAAGTATTACAACAATACTTGCAGAGTTTAAATACAACAAGCATGATTACTATAACAGACATGTGTTTGTATGTTCCCAGAAATCAGAAAATTCAGAGAAGACATTGAAGGCCCTAAGGGTTCCCTTCTGTGTGTGTAAATATTTACAATAGTGTGCAAATGCAAAAGTTTGGGCACCCCTGATCAAATTCCCTGTATTGTTGATTTTCTAAGTGAAAATAAGTTAACACATGCATGAAGGTACGTATGCGTGTACAAAAAGAAAATCTATGCTTAACCAAAAACCCAGTAGTTACTAACCAAAAATAAAAGTTTTTGCCTTTTCAGTTTAAAAAAATAAATACGGATTTCATGTTAGTCCTGAAAATGTATGACAATAAACACATAAACACACAAATCCTCTATACTAGGGTGGAAAACGAATCAGTCAAAAGCAGCGAATTCAACCACATTATAAATATACAATAAGGGTGTCTGTAGCCAAAACACCAACTGATGTAATGTGTGTTGTTGTTGTTGTATGTGCAGCCACCACTGATGCAGGTCAGAGCTCTGTACAACTTCACAGCAGAGGAAACAGATGAGCTGGACTTCAATGCTGGCGACATTATAGAAGTCCTGGAGCAGTTGGACTCGTCCTGGTGGATGGGTCAAATACGCGGCAAAAGTGGACTCTTCCCTTCCAGCTACACCACTGCTTTATAAACATACAGCAAAAATAGCCACATAGTTTTCACCTGGACTCTGAAGGCTGCAGAAATGCCACAGTGGTGGCTTCAGTGAGATATTCTACTTGTGTCAAACTACAGCTGTATCATTACATTAATGCAATACAACAATATGCACTGTACAAAATTATCTGGATTGTTTTAAAAGTTTGAATTCACTGAGCAATCATAAATAAAACAGATTATAATGTTATCCTAGCAACACTGGTGAGTCCAATCTTGACGAAAGAGGATAACATAAAATCGCAATAATTTTTGCAGAGCCATTTACAAGATGCACTTTTTTGCAAGGACTTTTTGTGTTATTTGTGATGCCTTCCGAATAAACAGTCTGATCAATCTTTGCATTCTCAAAATCACTGTGTTTCAAAGAATAGCAAAGCTTACAGTGTAAAAATGTATAAAATTACAGTAGTTAACTTGTTGCAGTTTCTTTAGTATTGTGCTGTTTATTTACAGTATTAATAATGCAAGTCACGATTGAAGTGCCATGCTGTGATCTAAATATACAGACTATTACTGCATTTTTAACAGGTACTGTGCTGTTTTCAGCATAATTGCTAAGCAGTTGCTAGGCGATTGCTATGGTGTCGTAGGTGGTTGCTAAGCATTTGCTAGGTGGTTGCTATGGTGTCCTAGGTGGTGGCTAAGAAGTTGCTAGGCGGTTGTTATGGTGCCCTAGGTAGCTGCTAAGCAGTTGCTGGGTGATTACTATGATGGCCCAAGTGGTTGCTAAGCAGCTGCTAGGCAGTTGCTATGGTGTTGCAGGTGCAGACAGCAGCCATAGCAACACCCTAGCAATTGCTCATCAACCACCTATGACACCATAGCATCCACCTAGTAATTGCTTAGCAAACATGTATATTACCATAGCGACCGCCCAGCAACTGCTTAGCAATGAATTAGGCCATCATAGCAACCACCTACCAACTGCTTACCAACCACTTGGGCAACCATGGCAACTGCCTAGCAAGTGCTTAGCAACCACCTACAACACCACAGCAACTGCCTAGCAAGTTGCTAAGCAACCACCTACAGCACCATAGCACCCTCCTAGCAAGTTGCCTAGCAACTGCTTAGCAACTACCTAAGACACCGTAGCAAGTTGCTAAGCAACTTCCTATTCCTACTTTCAGAATATACTATAATTACATTCTACAATAGATTAATTTAGGTACCTCACTGTTGACAAAAGGTCCAGGAAAAAGCCATATATTGTTGAATTTAAGCTAACAAATTGAATAAGTCAGTGTCAGTGGACATAATTCTTAAATGTCGGCTTGGTGCTGATGATTTCCATCAGCTCAGCTTTGCCCATCATTTCCTGTGAAACTGTCCCACCATGAAGATTACATCTGATGGCCGAAACGCTCGCACCTAATGCACTTGTACAAAAGGGAACAACTGTCTATAGCAGAATCTGGAAAGAGAAACTGTAAAAGCAGCAGCATACAAAGTAAAGTATATGTTGTTAAAATGTGTTACAAGCTTCAAACGTGCATGTTTAAGCTAAATCTAGCATGTGGGCCTAAAGCAGGAACTACTTCAGAATTTCTGCAGTATATGTTTTATTCTAATGTAATAATATTGCAGTTTAGTTTAAGGATAGTTTTGAGATAGTTTTAGCCTCAAACATGTATTTTTTAAAATCCATTTATGGTGGAGGGGTACATGCAGAGTGTTCTAAGGCAAAATAGTCCCCAAATAAAACTTATTTGTTTAGATTTATCACTATTTTACCATCATCAACATTACATATAAAAACTCAGAAGACACATGTAGGTGCAATGGCTGTTTTGGATAGTAAATAAAATGTCTATATTTGCGTTGTAGTCATTGTGACCCCTGGTTCCTATCACCACCACTGTAAAGAAATCTGAAGACTCTGAATGACTTTGCATAATTACAACTGAATTACACAAAACAATGAAAATAATAGGTGAAATTCCTCTTTAAGTCAGACAACATCAACTTTAAGTCGGACAACTAGTAAACACTGTGAACATTAGCACTCTCAGGTAGGACGAAGGGAGCCAATGAGCGTGGGATGATTTGCATGATGATCAGACTCCGCCCACCGCTGCTTCAACTCTGCCCTACCTGAAGGATTCGCTCAGGTGAGCTCAGACGGCCTGGACTACTTCAGATCGAGCGCTTGTACCGGACGTGTGCCGGTACCCGTGACCCGCGAGCCATGGCCGAGTCCCAGCTCGCGTGCATGGAAGATGGCCAAATGACCCCGAAGATCCCCGAAACGAAGCCTGAGTTTTACTACAGTGAGGAGCAACGCGCGGCTCTGGAGACGCTGCTGCGGGACGGGGACGGAGCCTTTAAGACGCGCCTCACCGAGGACAAGGCCAAGGACTTCCTGTCCGCTCGCGAGATTAAAGTAATCAGAAACTCGCTCATGCAGTACAAAACAAGCGAGGAGGAGGAGAACGAGCAGCGCGCGCAGGGTCGCTCTGCGGACTCTTCCTCTATGCGCTCCACTTACTGGCCCCAGATGTCAGACACCGAGGTCCCGCCGCTGGACATCGGCTGGCCGCACGGGGGCTTTTTCAGGGGGGTCACGCGCGTCACGGTCCACACGCATCCGCCCAAAGAGAATGGGCCACACCTCAAAGAGGTCGTGAGGAGGCTAATCCAAGAGGCCAGCAAGGTGAGCAATGACCACAGTAATAACCACAATGATAACTATAGTAATAATCACAGTAACCATCACAATTATAACCACAACAATAACTATAGTAATAATCACAATAATAACCACAGTAATAACCACGACAATATCTATAGTAATAGTCCTAATTATAACCACAGTAATAACCACAATAATAACTATAGTAATAATCACAGTAATGACCACAGTAATGATCACAATAATAACCACTGTAATAATGATAGGACAGAACTACATGTTGACTGAGAGCACAGGCAGAACCTGTAGTATTAATAATAGCCTAATAATAATAATAATAATAATAATGATAATAATAATAATAATAATAATAATAATAATAATAATAATAATAATGAATAGAAGTAGAACAACCTATGGTCAATTACCATATTTTGTTAATTTTCTAAGTGAAAATAAATGATCACATCCTTTATGAAGGAGACACTTCTGAACATTTTAACACAAGTTACTGCTTATTTGATTAATTTAACATATCGGGTAATATAAATATATTGTTCATTATATAAATAAACAAACTTATATAAGTTTGTTTTCTGTAGAGGACATGTTAACTTGTTTTTCCTTAGAAAATTAACTAAATTTACTTTGCCTGGGGCTGTTCAAACATTTGCATATGATTATGTTATTATTATTATTATTATTATTATTATTATTATTATTACAATTGAACCATTTCAACTGTACAATTTTACAATTGAAAGTGTTATTTTCAGCTTTATAAAATTGTAATATGTTGTCAGAATATTCTAAACTATGCTGAGACTATGTTGAGTCATGATCTTGGTGCTGTAGGGTCGAACCTGTTGCTGGTGAGCCTTTATAAACACTGATGCAGGTTTGATGATAAGGGAAGACGTGTGTGAATGTGCTGAGCTGAACAGCCTTGATCTCCAGGCTGAAACACAACAGGAGGTTAAGCAGACACACACAGACTTGTAACCACATGCACTCCAGTGCAGTCTGACACTGAATTGCTTCAGGGCATCATCTCCTCTAAGCTCAATAATACCCCTACAGTGGAAAAACAGATACAGCAACAACCAGCACAAGAGGATGATTAAGTCAACAGAGAGAAATGTGAAAACAGGATTGTGATCAGTTCCACTGAAATTCACTGTTTAAATTCACTAGTACTATGGATGTTGGGTGTGAAAGTGGAAATAGGCCTACAGGCATTCTGTAGGCCTGCTGTTCACAGGAGCTCTGTTCATTCAGCAGTAAAAATCTCACTAATCTGACATCTGCAGTGGTATTATATCATTAAGATCAGTGTTTCTCAGTCATGGTCTTGCATTGCAGGGCTTTACCTGCTCTGACACACCCATATAAGGTTTGGGAATATGCTCATGAGTCATGTTGGTGTTTTTGTATGGTAAATACTAATGTGATGACAAAAAAAAGCAACTGAAGCTTATGGACACATATGGATCACAGGTAAATTAACAAATAAAGAAAATAAATAAAATTCAATATTAAAAGGCCTATACAGGGGTGGCACTCAGGGTTATTAGGCGTCCAGCTTTGAAGCAGACAATCTGTTTTTGATCTCCGTTGTCCAGTGTCCGGTTGGTACTTTTATTAAAATGTTCAGTCAAGTCTTACTCTGAATGTATTACATGTATTGAAGATGATAACATGCCATTCTAGCCTTGTCATTTCTCTCTCTTTCTCTATCTTGCTCTTTCACTCGCTCACACACACATATGGGCGTGCACATGTAGGGGTTTTCAATAGAGGGCGAGTTCTGAAACCACACTGCATGTCAAATTAGTTCAACACCAATAGTGCCATTCCTATATTGAACATATTGTTTAGTACAGTGTGTGGATGAGACACAGCTTGTTTCACATAGGATAGGTTAGACTACATTATGGTGGGTTTGGGGATATAATGGAAAAAATCAAAAAGTAATTAATTAAAAGCATTTAAATATTAAATATAAATAAATCTTCATTCATATCCCAAATTTTCTTGTGTTTTATAACAAAAGTTTTCCAAATATATATATAAAAAAGCAGTCAGGGCTGAAACATGGCTTGTATCTTTAGTGTGAGTGGGCAGGGCTAAACAGCTGTAGGCGATTAGGTGAAGATATGGAAAGCAGTTGATTTTTGTGACATCACAATTCGAACAGCTCTGCATTAAATAACGTAGTTTTTATAAATGTATGTTCACTGTATGGACTGTGAACAATAAATTTTGAAACTTTCACAATGTTTATAAACTGCATAAAACTTCCTTATTTCAAATAATCAGTAGTGCAAAATTTCAGTGAATTCCATATTTGTGTTTATAAGTGGAAAAGGAGCTGTCACCTCACAGCAAGAAGGACCTGGGTTAGATTCCCCAGCCAGACAACCAGGGTCTTTATTGTGTGGAGTTTGCATTCTCTCCCCCCACAGTCCAAAGACAAGCAGTCAGGTCAATTGGAAATGCTTAATTGCCAATAGGTGTGAATGTGTGTGTGTGAATGTATATGTCTGTGTGTCTGCCCTGTGATGGACTGGCGACCTGTCCAGGGTGTATCCTGCTTCCTGCACGATGAACGTTGGGATAGGCTCCAGTACTCTCTGTGACCCAGAAGGATAAATGGCTGAGAAGATAGATGGATGGACAGCTCACTATGTAATTAAATGTAGTTGTATTTATTAAAGAGCAGTGTTGAAAAATGAAAGTAATAAGTCTCAGTTTAGGGTTAGAATGAGTGTTGTGAGTAGCTGGAGTATTAACACATATGAATCAGTGTAATTATGAGCTTTTTCTACACAGTGTAATTCTGATAAATCTGTACTCCATCCAAAGCCACCTTGGCAGTAGCTTGCTTGAGTTATGTCCATAGTAACGTTTAAAGATAGCTGTTTTGTTCTTAGACGACTGACTGTTTTGCCTGATGTTGCCTTAGGCATTATGCAGATGATTCATTAAGACTTATAAATAAGTTAGGAGCATGTGATGTGCTCGGCCAGCTTTACAAGGGAGTTTACCTTCAGGAAAACCCTGATTGTTCGTTAGTCAATCAGAATGAGGAAGCATAGCTTTCACTAAACTTTTCCTGTGAATAAGTCATAAGCACACATAATTTAAAGAAAACATCCCCAGCTTTGGTCACAATCCCAAGATCTCCCTTGTTCAGTTAACACATCCTCTACAGGATACAAACTCAAATATGACATTTTTCTACAAATTTCAGTGCACAATATTTATTCATTTGAGTTTAATATTTTGGAAAAATATTAAATATGCCATAGCTTTTGCACAAACCGCATTTCATGCTTTATTATACTTTTTTTTTCAATATGTTAATTCAGTAATTTAACAGTAATTGTGCAATAAACTGCACAAAAAGTGTTCTCTGTAGAGGATATGTTAACTTATTTTCATATAGAAAATCACCAAAATGCATCATTTGTCCAGGGGTGCATAAACTTTTGTATATGAATGTATTTTCAAAGTGCAATTACAAAACTGCAACTGCTTCACTAGAACTAAATATAGAACTTAAAACTAATAATACTCAAATAGCATCTGAGGTTGTACTCAAATTAAATCTGGTTTAAATATCAAGATAAAATATAATTGTTGCCATATGGCAACACCATGTTACAGTGGAACTGCAATCTGCAATGCATACAATGCACGTTGATATTTTTATCAGTATGCTAATCTACCTTTTTATATTCTTTAAAAATGTATGTATATTTGGCTGTTATGCACATATTTTTCATTTTCCAGATGATGAACGTGTCCTATAACTGTATATATGAATGTGTCCCATAGTGGTTTATTCCCATTAGAACTGCATTATGGATTGCAACAAACAAAATGCAAAGTACTCATCAAAAAAAGGTCTACACAAACTGGTAGCTATGCTGCATTTTGTTATATTTGATATTTTGCTTGTTACTTGGATGAGATATAGGGCAGAAATGAGGTCACAGGTCTCTAGCAAACCTAATGTACACATTTAAGTGCTAAAGAGCTTTGAATAATTATTTTAACATAGATTCATTTACTGATATTGTTGCATCATCACATTAAAACCCAGCAACACCACTAGTCAAACATATCCAGATGTCAGCGGCCCTTAAAACTGTATAACCATGCTTTTTTTCCTTTACATTATTATGACCTTATCTAACACCTGACTCATAATGCTACTGCAACCCAAGCCTCTGTTCTTCAAACTAACCTCAGACACCAGTCGTGAGTCTCAAAACTGGTTTCAAAGCAGGATCTTAAGTGTAACTTGAACCTCAAGCAGGATTCCAAAGTGCCGCAATAGCTTTTCATAGTTTTTCTTTCTTTTTGAAAAGCCACAAGGAGGAATTTGTGGTTGGAGGTAAATGTGTGGGTGTGTTGTACAGCACGTCATTGTGCACACAGCAAATTCACAGAAACAAGAGCCAGTTTCAAATTTGTGCTAGCTTCTCGGTAGCTCCAATTACTTTCACTTAAACTGAACACTTTCAATTTTGGTATTAGAAAAAGAGAAATAATGAAATAGTATAATAAATAAAGAAAACAGGAGTAAAAAAGCAGCAAGTCAAAAAATACTGTACTACCAAAGTAGAGTTCCCTATAGAGCTGCAGTGGACCTTCTTAATACGTACAGCATCCACCAGTATAGGAGTTTGTTGGGATCCTTTTGGTCTAACATAGAACAGTAAAGCTCCAAAGTGAGAGATGTGACCAATTGTTAACAACAGGAATTATTAACTACATGTCAATAAATTTCATTTAACAATAAGTGAATTACTTTTCTTACAAATAGAAGCACAAGTAAAAATACGCTATTAGCATTTGAATTTTCTCAGAAAGGCTCTGTGCATCTTAAAAAAAATAACTTATTTTTTCAAAAATATTAACTTAGTATGGCAAAATACTACATTCTTAATAGTGTTTTTTCAAGGGCTCTTTGGTAAAAACAATGGCTCTATATAGAATGTGTTGTATTTGGTTTTATGTGGAACATTTTTGAAAATAATTATATGTATTATATATCATATATTATATATAACACCAAAAAGGGTTCTTCTATTGTTACAAGCTTGACATCATAACAATAGCAAAACACTTTTTGATGCTATATAGAATGATTTTTAAAATGGTTCCTTAAAGAAACATATACAACAGTTTCTCTAATAGTCTAAAGAACCATTTCACCATGCAAAGAACTGTTTAGGTATGGCTGTACATAGAAGCATTGCCTTTACTAAAGGACCCATGAAGAACCATCTTTTTTATGTGTGTATGTCAAAATAATAATCTATTGAGTTGCATGGAAGTAATTCTTTTGAGATATTAAGTGAATATTTTGACATAGTAAGTGATTAAGTAGCTACAATAAGTCATTATTTTGTCATTATTTTGAAACAGTATGTCTATTTTAAGAATTTAAGTCATTATTTTGAGTAAATGTGTAATGATTGTGACATAATAAGTCAACACTTTTGGAAATATGGCATTATTATTTAGATAAAGTGATTTTTTATTACATACTGCTGCTAGAAACAAAGAACAAGGAATGGGCTTCCATAAAAAGTAACGAGTAAAGAGTAAACATACACTATATTTCCAAAAGTTTCATGCAGCATTTCTTCTGAAATCAAGAGTGTTAATAGGGAGTTTGTTCCCCTTTTGCTGCAGTAACAACATCTACTCTTCTGGGATGGCTTTACACCAGATGTTGGAACGTTGCTGTGAGGGTTTGATTGCTTTCAGCCACAAGAGCTTTAGAGAGGTCAGATGATTAGTTCTGGATCACTCAATCTCTTCCCAAAGGTATTGGATGGAGCTCCATCACTCCGGAGAAAGCAGTTCCATTGCTCCACAGCCCAGTGCTGGGGGGGTTTAATACCCCTCTAGCCAATGCTGGGCAGTGGGCATGGAGACCTTAGGCTCAGGTGTGGCTGCTCCAGAGCATCCCATTCTATTGGCAGTGCTTTTCTGTGGCAACAGTACAAGCTGTACACAGTTGAACACCTGTGTCAGCAATGGAGGCACCCTAAAATAACTGGATTCACTAATTAGAAGGGGTGTCTGGATACTTTTGGAACTATTTGATACCCACCTCTGGTTATTGGTTATTTAGTTATTAATGTGAAATTGTTCGTCCGCCTTGAATTTGAGCCAGCATATACTTTGCAGTAAAACTCGGGCAGTAAATCCACAGGAAACCACCTCTCACATTAATAGTTTCGTGTTAATTGGACCAATATTATTGTTTCCCTTATGAGTCAGCATTGTGGCAGCAATGAAATGGTCCACCAGTCAGGTAACGTTAACTTTCAGTTCTTTCCAGTCCGTCAGGTGTTTACAGGTGTTTCCTGTACAACTAGGTTTATTCACCACATAGAGACACAACTGCTCTCATTCAAACTGAGCACTATATTTAACTGTGATGTGTGAACAGAATGAAATTTGCTCCATAGAGCACCTAGCATGCTGCTAATGCTACATGTTCCGGGAACATGCCATAAAACAACTAGGTGTGTTTTGATGAACTACATTTCACTGTGACAACATTCAATCGCTGAGCAAACAGAGAAAGCCAAACAATGAGATTGTATTTGATCTTTCTTTAACTTTTTGCTTTGCTGTATGCCTTTTACTGCCTTTTTATAAAAACAAGTATACACAACAAAAATACATATAGATACATATCTTGCCCATGTTTAATGGCTTAAAAAGAATGAGGAACCACAATGCTGAGCACACAAGAACCTGTTTGACAACCATGAATAGATTCATTTTTTTAACCACTTGGCATCTGAAGTCATTGACTTTTCCTACTTTCTCTCAGCAGATATGAGTACAGATACTGCATCTCTAACCTAAATTCTTTTCAAACAGAACAAACAGCAATAACCTATAATCTCCTGTACATCACGATAACCTACTCCCTCATAACCAGATATAACTGTAAATACAGTGCTGTCTGTTTTGCTGTGCAAAAGTCAAAGTCTGCCCTTAATTTATTTCATTTCCAGTCAAAACGCCCATTAGGTACAAGTTATTCATTTTCAGGAGATGTTTCTGAGGAGATTAGATATAAAATAGTGCACTTGTATAATAATAATAATAATAATAATTATTATTATTATGTGAAGAACTGGACGTCAAAAAAATAATAAAAATAAAAAGCAAAAAGCAAAATACAAAGAAAATAGGACTCTTAACATCTGTGCAGGACCTGAAAGACACCAAAACTGTCCCCATAAGATAAACAGCTATTTTTATTTAAAAACAAAAAGATCAAAAAAGAAGTGACCATCTGAAAGTCCAGACCCCAACATTACTGAATGTGTTTGGGATTATTTGAATGACGAGAAGCAGAAAGTACAACCAACTTCTAAGACTGAACTTTGGAGGTGTGGAAAATTATCCCTTCAGATTCTTTGAAAGACTGAAAGTGAGTCTACAGACAAGTGAATAAATAACCTGTAAAAACAAATAACTCGTTTGAACTGTATGTAAATGATACGCTAAGAAAAACAAAACTTCCTCCTATCAAGCTTGTTCGGCATATAATCTGAAAGATCAAATGCTAAAACATATATATGATTTCCTCACTGTGTTATACGTTTTATATATTTTCGTTGTTGTTGTTTAATGAATGATATTTTAAATGAGCTATATTTTATCTTATGTTAAATTCAGCAAGTCAACAGTAACTGTGCATTAAAATGAGCAGAAGTGTGTTCCCTATAGAGGACGTGTTAACTTATTGAAACCAACAAAACATACCATCTATACCATTTACCAAACCTTTTCATACTACTATACACATATATATGACCACACACATCAACTGAATTCTGTCTATCGCATTACAGGAGAAAAAAAAAAAAACACCTTTACTTTTAATGTAAGTCAATGGAACCAGACTTTTTTCCAATTAGTTTTGGGCCATTTCCTTGGGTCCAATAATCATGAAATTTACATGCGATGTAAAGGACAACGTGTGTTTTCAAATTATGTCAAAAACTGGAAAACAACAAAAATAGAGATACAAAGTTTTCTTACAACAGCAGCAATATGCTAACTGATCACTGACCATTAGGTATGCTTACCTTGTATCTACACTCACTGTCCAATTTGTCAGATTTATTTACCATGTAAGTGGACTTTGTAGTTCTACAGTTAGAGTTTGTAGTCCGTCTGTTTCTCTGCATAATTTTTTAGCCCCCTTTACCTTGTTTATCAGTTTGCAGGACCACCACTGAGTAGGAAGCATGTTTTTTGAGTAGTGGATCATTCTCAGCACACCAGTGGCTCTGCACAACCTTTGTTTTTCCACCTTGCTTTATTATACATACATCATTTCTCACGCATCTCTGAATGGTGAATGGTTGAGAATATAGCCTTTCTGAAAGCTTAAATGCTTTGTTCTGTGTTCATATTTTTCAGGTTATTGCTATCGTAATGGATCTCCTCACAGATCTCCATATCCTGCAAGATCTGCTGGACACAGCGTCCAAGCGCAGGGTGCCTGTTTACATCATACTGGACGTTCAGGGAGTGCCGCATTTCCTTGACATGTGCAACAGACTGCAGGTCAGCTCTCACCATCTACAGGTGAGCAGAACACGCACAGACAGGCAGTGAGAGAGACTCACAACTTCCACCGACTGAATTTTGGAGTTATCGAATGTTTCTCTTATTGATTAAAGGAAAAATGTAGCACATTTCATTGCTTTACATTTGTAGTGTATGGTCAATTATCATAGACGATCATTTCAATGCATTTCAATTCTACATGTTGAAAGAACTGAAAAACGGAAAGAAATGAAAGCTTATTGACTTGAAACTCACTTATAATAGAAGCCATTGGGCAGCTGCTGAATACTGCAAATAAATGTTTGAAACATGCATATCTAAGGTAAATTTTAAACCACAACCATTACACTTAACAATGGAGGAGACAGGTATGAAAGACTGTCGTACCAAGACTTCTCTCTTAAAGTATTTTTTTAAATTCTAAAGCAGCAAAGTACAAAAACCAGTTCAGTTACTTTTACTTTTTTAAAGTTATCTGGCTTCCATTACTATGCCGATAACATCTTTTGATGATATTTTAAGTGACAATAAGTGACACACCCTGTACAAAGAGCAAACTTAAATATGGCATTTTCTGCAGATTTTACTGCACAATTTATACTTATTTATCAGTTAGAGTTTATGTGTTTATTTATATATTGTAAGAATAATTATATATTGGTAAAAAAAAATTATATATATATATATATATATATATATATATATATATATATATATACTGTAACTTGTGCACAGAACACATTCTATGCTTACGTAGGATTCCTTAAACTGTTTTACAAAAACGTGTTTTGCATAAACATTTAGGGGCGGGATCACTAAAAGGGCTGCTGATTAACGACAGTCCATAGCAGTGGTCTTCTACTCTGGTCCTGGAGAGCTACCTTCCTGCAGAGCCTGGTTTCAACCATAGTTTGCCACACCTACTCCAGCTAATCAACCTCTTTCCAAGTCCCTGATTGGCTGGGTCAGATGTATTAGAGTTAAGTAAGGCAACATATGGGATACAGGTTGGGACTAAACTCCAAGCTCTTGAGGAGCAGAGTTGGAGACCACTGGTCTATAAACAATTTGTGTTGGTGGGGGCAGCCAATTTAGCAAGTTATCTGCTAAGAACGTTCATGCAAGTGAACACAGACACAATTTCATAACTGATGTCATCAGTGGACCAGAACCCCCTGTTTTACACATATCCTTTTTATATGGAAGCCAGTTTAGGATAAGGGGAAGGTGGGAGAAAACAACAATGTGAGTAATTTGTAGTGGTTGGTACAGCACAGTGGGAAACACTGCTGCCCTTCACATAACAGACTGGGGCTCGATGTCCTGGTCTGGCAAGCACAGCATACTACACCAATACCAAGTCCTTGGCAAGTCCGCTAATGCTTTGTTTCATACTTCTTTCTGTTTCTGGCAGGACTGTGAATATTTTTCAATATTTTGAATTTTTCTTCTTAAAAAATTTTGAGATTTTGACTTAGTATGTAAAAATAATGTGTTATTACTCTGCAAGAATGTGTAGTTATTTGAGAAAATAAGAATTGGTTGTAACACTGGGTTGACGAATTAGACACTCATGGATATAAAATAAACCTGAAGGTTAACTGGGTTAACACCAGACAAAAACAAGTGTGGGTCGAAACCAGAAGATATAACTACCTTGCAAACTAAGCCAAAAGGGGAGAATATGAAAGACAAAAAGAGAAAAACATGAGAGAAGGCTCAGTATGCACTGAACAAACAGAGGCAATGCTTCACAAAGTAACAGAGGAACAGACAGGCTTAAATACACAGTTCAACAGGTGATGACAATATTCAGGTGAGCTGGATCTGCTGGTTGGCTGATGATTGGTGGACTGATGACTGGCTGAGGAATCTTGGGAGTTGGAGATCATACTCAAGTTGAGAGTCCTAGTATGAACCAGGAAGCGTGACAGTGGTTCTCTCATAATAATTCACAAATTCAAAACTCAGATATAAGCTGTGCTGACATGCTGCCGATGCCTTTTTTTCTGTCACCTGAACTCTCAGATATAAAAGTAGTAAACTGTCACTGGGGCAGTACCCCTCTTGTCACTGAGGTGGTTCCCTCAAGGGCACATCTCAGAACCTTTAGTCAGGGATCATAACTGTACCATAATCCATTGAAATGATATTTTCTAAGTTGTTCTGACTCCACACACCCCGTCTCATCTCCAGGCTTTTTATTTTATTGCTCTGTTTTAAAGCATTAGGTTATGAAAAGGTACAAATATGTACTTTTCACCTGGAAAAAATATTTAAAGTACACAACTGGACCTTAAAACCACTGTTGTACTTTTGAGGTATATTTACATTGTTTGTACTTTGATGAACAAAAAATGTACCTGCACAGAGCCTCAGCGTAGTGGAAACTGGCTTCCATTTGTCTGCCTGCAGTACTTTGCAGTCAGAACAGCCATACAGTACAAATTGACTTTTGCAGAATAAGAAAAAAGAAACATGCAGGAATATTTTTCACACCTCAAAGTTCAGTCTTAGAATTTAGTTGTGTTTTCTGCTTCTCAAAATTGAATTAATTCCAATTATACATTTAGATTCATCAGTCAATAAAACCACCTCTCAGATGGCCAGTTTGAGTCCAAATGTTCTTTCCTTTTCTCAGTGAGGCTTCTTAACAGCCAAACATCCTTTCAGACTCATAGCGCTGAGTTGTCTTCTCACAGTGGAAGGATGGACAGAAACACCTGTGGATGTTTTCAGATCTGAAGCAGCTTGATTTTCTCTTCTCTTTCTCAGAGATGAAAGCTTTAAGTGCTGTTTATCTGATAGGTTGGTCTGTCAGGTCTGACACAGTTGTTAAGAGCCCCATTTTCTCTATATCTTATAATCTTAATATTTTTGGAACTAGTTTTGGAAACTCTTATGCAGTTGCATTACCTTATATCTAATCTCCTCAGAAACATCTCCTGATAAATGAATAACTTGTACTTACTGTCTGTTTTGACTGGAAAGTAAATAAATAACTTTTGCACAGTGCTGTTTATGGATTACAGTGAAAAGACCAAAAACCAATCACACTTTTAATTTACATACTTTTACAGAACATCCGCACACGCACAGTGAAAGGCGTAGGATTCGAGCTGTCCTATGGGAGGATCCCAGGGAGCTTGTGCAGCAAATACATGATTGTAGATGGAGACAAAGTCATGTTTGGATCATACAGGTAGGTGGCTTGTGTGTTAAACTGCCAGGCCTGGCTGGCTTATTCACAACCGTAATTATACCAGTATAAATTACAATCTGTGAGTGCTTACTGTAATTAATAAAACGCAGTGGTTATCACACGGGTCATTAACTATTTGTATAATTGTTTCAATAAGCAGAGTGGGTCTGATTTGTAGTCCTGTACACCCACACCCGCATTGCACTGTTTCATGTTTCTCCTGCTCTTACACACCTGATAATTATTGGCCCTCAATCAGTTGAATGTCAAGAGCAGAGAAAATATCTTGAGTAGAACTGAGAGGGACCACATAATGGAATTGTGAATATATAAACACTGTTGAAGTTTTAAAACATTTTTTACTTTCATTTTATTTGTGGTAGGTGTCTTATTCCATTGGCAGATAATTTTACTTGTTTTGGGAAATAGTGCAGACAAATAATGCCTGAAATACTGCTTGAAGTACAATTATCTGCCAATAGAATAAGACAAGATAGAATCACTTAAAACAAGTAAATATGTCTAGAAATAGATAAAACATTTCATAAAAAGGAATATGAGTTATTTTTCCGAGATTTAATGTTTTCACTTGCTTAAATATATTTTTTGCACTGCAGTGCATAGAGTAGATATATGGAAACTAAGTGGTAAAAACAGCCCATTTTCAATTCACCATGGCTGTGACATCACAAACATAAACACAATCACATGTGACGGCTCATTCTGTCAACAACTCTTCGTCTCAATTCGTTACAATTCATTTTCATGAACAAGGGCCAGTCCAGGGCAGCAGAGATGGGCTTTTGAGTCAAGGACTCGGACACCAGTTGCTCTCATGTTGCATGTTGACTGATTTGCAGCTTGTCTCAGTGTCGCTCTTAACTTTCAGCCTGAGAAAAAACACAAACAAAATTATTAATTAAAGTGCCAACCTTGCAGTAAATGAAGAAAACCTTTCAGTTCCAACCTGACATGTGACTTTACTGTAGTTTTGCGAAAGGTGTCATTACTGGAATGCCATTCTCCTGCAGCTCGCAGTGGCTTTGGATTTGATCCAAGTTCACTGAGCTCTTTGTTAATGAAAAACCTTAAGTATGATGAGCAGAATGATGCACTACATACAGTAAATATGGTGTTTTAAGGAAAGGGACAACTTGAAACAATGGGCCAGAATGTAGTTTGCATAGAGAGAATACTATCAGGCACAAAAGCTAATTTAGCTGAAGTTGTAAATTACAGATTGCATCTTTTAAATGCACTAAAGATGGATTAGCTATTAGGCTAGCTAGCAAGCACATCTGCTATACAGACTAGACTAACTACTCATTTCTAGTTGTTTTGCTTCTTTCCTTTAAACACCACCTTCACTATATGTAAATTAGCGCTTCAGTTCTGTGCTACAGATTGAAGATCATTGATCCTGACAAAGTTTTTAGTTGGAGTTCACTTCTGTACAATTCAATGCCTGCAGCTAATAGTGAGACTAAACTTAAATTCAAAACTAAACACTCAAGATTTTGCCTTGAGGGAAACACTCAAGGCACAATGGCAAAATCAACTCGATTTTAAGGGATAAACAGAGAAAAATGATCATGTAAAAAGTCTTTTTGTATGTTAAAATAGAAAAAGTAAAATACTAGAAAAATGTAGAAGAAAGACCCTTTGAGTAATACTTTTTCTTGCTTTTCATAGTTTCTCATGGACCTCATCCCGTATGGACCGGAACATGATCACCGTAATGTCCGGCCAGATAGTCGACTTCTTCGACAACGACTTCAGGGAGCTTTACGCAATCTCGGACAAGCTGGACCTTTTTAAAGAATTCCACGTTGGGAAGCCAAGCACAGGGACCCTGGGCCGGGTGACTGTCCCCAAGCGGCCCTCTCTGCCTGCCACCTCCCGCTTTCAGGTGAGCCTGGGGGATTCAGGCACCTTGAAAGTGCCTGAGCACAAATACTACAACCCTAAATACCTGCTAGCTTTTGGGAACATTCCTGGACCCAGTGGTTCCCTGCCTGATCTCTCTGGTAAGAAGCAGACAGAAGCATCTCCAGAGGAATTGGCATCAGAGAATAGTCCAACACAGGCGGGCAGTGACAAACTAGACACCCTGAAAAGATTACCCGCAGAGAGTACAGAGAAAGGAACCATCAAAAAGCGTTCTTTTTTCAGTAAGAAACATCAAAGCTCTCAAAAATCCAAAGGCAAAAAAAAGGATGATACAGTAGCAGCAGCAGCAGGTGAGGAAGGAACTCCTAGTCCTTCTACCAGCAGCAAACCTGCAATGCCCAATGGCATAGAGGACCTTACAAACCTCCCAGAGGAACCACCTGTTGAGAACCTACCACCTGTGAAAGAAAAGAGCAAGAAGAAAAGGTGCTCATCACAACAGACCATTAACAGCCAGGGTGAGTATAACATTGATTACTTTCATAGCCAGTTTCCTATAAATGGATTCAAGGAATAGTTTGGTGAAAATTTGATTCACATATATTTTTCTGTACCCTGAGTCTAAATGATCTGCCAAGACATGTTTAGTGTCTGAAGTTTGCTTCTTTGGTTTTGCACTGAAGCTACAATGCTAATGCTGTTAACATGTAATAGAAGCTTATACTCCATCAACAAGCACTAAAGATCAAATACCGCATGAATATATCGTACCATACATTTGCCTCAGAACATACAACCTTGTTAAGTCATTTCAAATTGACTTATGTTTTTTCTGACACTGTGTAACATACTGCTATCTATCAAAAAAGCACAGAAGTACATTGCACAGCTAAAAACAATAGCAGTAGCCATCTTGAAGCCTATTTTTTGACTATTTTAACAGCCAACAATGTCATACAGTGTCAGAACAATGTCTACATGGTTTGAAGCAAATGTGTGGTGATTTAGCCATGCGATTGCTAACACATTGCTAACTCATGGCTATAGGCCTTCATGGCTTGCTAGCTACATTAGCCTCATAGCTTCAGTGAGAAATTAGAGACACAAAGTTTAGATGCCAAACATATCTTGACTGATTGACTAGATTTGGGCTAAGAAGCAATTTGTGTAAATTGTCTTTTTAATGTTGTCAGTGATCCACCATTGAAACTGTTTGTAGTATGTACACTGACTTAATCTGGATGTCCTATGGTCAGTTTTCTGGACAGGAATTAAGTCTAGTCCTGGACTACACGGCATTTTGAATGAAGATTCTTCACTAATGGAAAATATAATCCAGGACCAGGCTTAATCCAACCAGAAATATTTAGATCTGTCTTCTGGTTCTTAAAATCTTTTATTTATCTTTTCTTTTTTAGAATCAAAAGGCCGTAAACCGTCCAAAAACAAATGTGTTCAGTCCTGAAGAGCCGGATGGAACTGTGTGGTTGTTGACCTTATTCTCAGGTGCTAAAAGGGTTGAACCTGTTTAGAGACAGGCCTTGATTATAAGTATGTGTCATTTATTTCTGTTTTTGTTTTAAAGAAGTCAGCTTGCCATGCTCAGTGCTTAAGTGACATTAGAAGTGTTGACTGAGGCAGTCTGTCTTTCTTTAGGCACACATAAAGTAAAAGTAAAAGAATGTTGCACCAACTGTTTGAAAAGCTGCTAGATGAGGTTCTATTGCTGACAGCTATATCCTTAGGCTATACTACCAAAGACTATACAGTTGGGTACTATAAGACCATCTGCAAGCCATTCGTCCTTGGACAGTTTATGACCACAGGACTACTGATTATTTTTGGCCATCAGAGCAAATAAAATATGTTTAGTGATGGTTCTATGATGGTCCCTTTCCACTGATTGTTGGGATAGAGGGGAGTGACACATTGTGCAGCTACGGTCAGCAACTGTAAACTTACAAAGTGCCCTTATATGGTAGATGTTTCTGATAAAATGGCCAATAAGTGTAAGTACAAGGTAGGTGTATCTAATAAACTGGCAACTCAGTGTATATCTGCTGTGAATGTTAAATGTATGCAAAACAGGCAAATATCTACAGTATAATAGTCAGTAAATGTTATGCACACTATGTTTTAAACCCTCCTTATATGGTCTCAGGGGCAAATCTCAGGCCTTTAGCCATAGTATTGGATCAAAGGCACATATGATCTAGTCTATATATATATATATATACATATATACATTATATGTCTAAAACACATTGATATCAAGTGACTGTTCTGTGAATACTGATTGTAATAGAGAATGTGAGCAATGGCCTATGTTGTTGATGTGAAAAAAAGATGCATCAAGTGTGCCCTCTAGTGGTTAATCCTATGTATGTAAATGTATGTGTTTGTAGCAAAACAACACAGGTGACAAAATGATAAAAAAAATCCTAAATAAATGAGTGAAGGAATATATTGAGTGCAGATGCTTACAGATGAATATACTGCATTACACAGTTAAACTTTTAACACCTTATTATGCTGCTTATGTGTAAAATGCTGAGCAGGCCCAGCTGACGTTGATTCTGGCTCCAAATGTCAAGAGGAAAAATTCCAAGTGCATTTGAGAGAGGGTTCAGTATTGGGGTGCGGACGGCAGGAGCTTCAGTCACAAAGTCCGCTCAGCTGGCTGTGTTTCAAAACAAACAGTGACATCTGCATTTTAATCTATGGGAAAGACAACAGTAAACAGCTCTGGTAATTGTGGCCGAAAGCCACCCGGTGACTGTAATGCTCGTGCCTTATATGTAAGGAAAACAGAAGAGCAACTGTTCTTCAGGTGACCGAGAATGCCAATACAGAACGTGATCAGATTGTGCCAGCAAAAACAAAAGGCCAATGCCAACCCAGAACCCCAGAAGCCCACATACGGTGGTGAACATTAATGTTTATTGCTTGCTTTCATTTGTTATCAGCTTGAGTTAGCCATACTTTTGACTGCAATATTGTAAGGTATAGATAAAAAAGGGAAAGTGTGTTCATAGTAAGGCTGATGTCTACAAAACTTATAGAATCTATGCCAAAAAGCTCTTCCGGTGGCTCAACACTTTACTAAGTAACACTCTATGTTGGTGTTTCCTTAAATTTGTCACAGATCTGTATGTGACAGTTCAAGCATTCTTGTTGTGTTCTACTCATTGGTGTTTGTGTGAATGTCAGAGACCACACACACACACAAACACCCATTATCTATGGCGTTTATCGTTCTGTATCGTGGGGGGCGGGGGTGATGGAGCCTATCGCAGCTGTCATCGGGCAGAAGGCAGAAAACACCCTGGACAGGTGTCAGAGACCCTGGAAGGGGAGGTCAAATGAAAATAAGTGAAAAAACAAGGGTGTCTAAAATTGGAGGTCAAAAAAATTATTAAAAGATACAGAGAAAAGACCACCAAAACAGTCACCATCAGGGAACAGTACTACAGTAAAAGCTTCACTTTTTCTATATATATGTATAAAAAAATACACGGGTGATGCTGTCCATCCTTCCACTGTGAGAAGAAAACTCTGGCACTATGAGTCTAACTGAGCCTCACTGAGGAAAGAAAGCAGACAAAAAAGAACAGCAGGTAAAGAAGCTGCTGGTGTTCTCAGAACAGTGTACCGACTACCTCAAAGTATGAAAAAATTCACTGAATTTGTTTGGGATTACTTGAATCGTAAGAAGCAGACAATGCAACCAACTTCTAAGACTGAACTTTGGAGGTGTGGAAAATATCCCTGCAGATTTCTTTGAAAAAATGAAAGTGAGTCTCCTGAAAAGAATAGAAGCTGTAATAAAAGTAAAGAGTAAAAATACTGGTAAAATGATTCCATTTAGTTGCTGAGGCTTCTGGGTAATTTTTGTTAAATATACGCTTTCTGCTTTTCTCCTGATTTCACTAGTACCTAATGGCTGAAAATAAATACAATTTGCACTGTACTGTATGTGTGTGTTTGTCTGAGTCTTGTGTGTTTTCAGGGTGTGTTTCAACAGCCCTTACCGCAGAAGGGAACAACCGTTCAGGGAACTGAACGAAGGATGCGATCTGCTGCAACACTCTTAAACAGGAAGTAGAGAAACAGGAAACAGGAAATATGGCCCAGAGGGTAAAACGGCACCCCTAGTTAAACCACAAAACACATGAGCACTTAGACTGTGTACAGAAACTGCTAATAGCTGATTTAAGCACAGTCTTGTAAATCTGTCAGTAATAATTACAATAGGGAAGTGGTCCTAAATCAGACCTAAATTACATCCTCTGCTGTCTCAACACAATGATATTAAGCTAAGATTTAGGCTTTTTTAACAGAAGCCCCAGTCAGGAACTGATGAAACCGTGACTAAGTCTTTCCTTATCTGAAATAAATGGTGAACACACATATTGTACATTTCATTAGGGTTGAGTTTTGTAACATACACACTTTAAAAAACTGGTGCCACTGAAGGATCTTTGAGTGATGACATAGAATTTAGTTCCCCAAAAAAGCTTTGAAAAAGAGATTTGAGAGCGTGAAGAACTTTTTAAAGGTTTAAAGAACCTTCACATGATGTAAAGGTTTGACACCGATTTAAAGGATCCACATGATGGAAAACAATACTTCCAACATCTCCAATATCCAATATTTATTATTTCATTGAAAGGAAAGTTTGATATTGTATATAAACATATTTTAAAAATGTATTGTTCAATATCTAGTCCATATATATATATATAAAATGTATCTATATCTATATATGCACTGATGAGGCATAACATTATGACCACCTCCTTGTTTCTACGCTCATTGTTCATTTTATCAGCTCCACTTACTGTATAGGTGCACTTTGTAGTTCTACAATTACAGACTGTAGTCCATCTATTTCTCTGCATGCTTTGTTAGACCCCTTTTATCCTGTTCTTCAGTGGTCAGGAGCCCCATGGACCCTCACAGAGCTGGTACTACTTGGGTGGTGGATCATTCTCAGCACTGCAGTAACACTGATGTGATGGTGGTGTGTTAGAGTGTGTTGTGCTGGTCTGAGTGGATCAGACACAGCAGTGCTGGTGGAGTTTTTAAACACTGTGTCCACTCACTGTCCACTCTATTAGATACTCCTACCTTGTCAGTCCACCTTGTAGATGTAAAGTCAGAGACGATAGCTCATCTGCTGCTGCTCAGTTTGTGTTGGTCATTCTCTAGTCCTTCATCAGTGCTCACAGGATGCTGCCCACAGGACGCTGTTGGCTGGATATTTTTGGTTGGTGGACTATTCTCAGTCCAGCGGTGACACTGAGGTGTTTAAAAACTAATTGTAGAACTACAGGAGGAGGTGGTCATAATGTTATGCCTCGTCGGTGTATGTGTATATATATATATATATATATATATATATATATATATATATATATACACATATAGATAGATAGATAGATAGATAGAAAATGAAGCTGCGCAAACGGTCATTTTAAATTCATTTTTTGTGTGATGTCACAAAAATCTTAGCATTTTCAGCCCATGAAAGTTTTGCTCTACCCACACTAAAGTTATAAAGAGAGTTTCAGGCCAAACTGCTTTCTGAATGAGGCACAACCACAATTAATCTGACCAGAGGTCACTAACATATGTCATAAAAACTGCCCGTTCAAAACCACAATCACACTAGACATTTGTGGTCTGTGTCACTTGCTAAATTAATGTGACTGAGGCTGAACTGGAAGAAAAAAAATCTTCCTTTTTGGTCCAGTTAGCAAGCTAGCAAATATGAACAATACAAACACAAAAGAAAATGTAAGACTAGATAATTACATAAGAGCATAATGCTGCACACTGAGTTGTAATTAAAGGTGTTGATAACTGGCATGGATGGTGGGTTGATTTCTTTGTTCAGCTGTGCCAACTCGCCTACTGTAAACAGTAAAACTGCAAAAGAAAACATAATTATTCCAAATTAGCATCGAGCCGCATACAGAGTTGTAGTAAAAAGTGCAGATAACTAGCATGTTTGGCAGCAGTGTGGTGACTGGGGTGTGCAGCTGTGTTTAGCCAAGAAGCCAACCTAGTTTGAAAGCTGGCTTACTCATCTATTTGTTGAGAATGTTGATTTGAAGCAGAAATGATGTCATGTTTAATGATGAATAAGAAATGGCAAGAAATGGTCCATTTTTCTTGGAAAAAGCATTGGCGCGTCTTTATGGGGACTTCTTCCTTGGCCATTTTTACGCTTCTTCTTTGTTTTAGACAGACACAACTAAGCCAAGTTGGCCTAAAATTGCCAGTGGGTGGAAGTGTGGAGCGACAAACTGACCTTCATGATTTTATTGTCTGATTTCTGCTCAACAGAACCAGACAAATGACAGTCAAAACTGGACACCCAGATATACAGCCAGTAAACCAGACTGTCCAGGTGAAAACTGGACGGGTGGCAAACCTAAAGGTGATTTGAGTGCAGTGCTTAGCCAAGCTGCCAACTTTGCAGTTCAGAAGTTGGATAACTTGCCTAAGTACCAAATATTGCAGACTCATGCATAATACACAGATTGTATATATGTGTCTGATGGGAGAGTGAACACATATATGCCTAATATATGGATCACAGATATAAGTGTGATACATATCACATAAATACATACATGTCACATAAATGTCTATATGTGACTAATATAATTTGGATAAAGGGGAAATCTATATATGCTAATATATGTCATATTGTATGTAATATATGCTGCCATATATTAGATTTATGTATGGGTATAGCCAATGGGGAAGAAATATTAAAAGATTTGTGCTCAGACGCTGCTAAAAGTAGTGTTTCCTCTATTTTGGAGTGACAGGCCACACCTTCAGAGGTCAGTGCAGCCAATTCAGTAGTGCTATTAGTTGAGAATGCAGATTCATGAGTTGAAGGTTTCCAGAGTTAAACCTGATTCAAAGTTTTGCTCATGCAATTTATTCGGAAGCCTACAATGCAAAAATTATACATATTCCACTGAAATGAATGAATGCAGTTTTGCTTGCGAAATTTTGCTGACAAAAGTTTGTGTGACTGAGCCTTATGGAATAAAGACAGTTTGGGCAATGATTATGTAAATTTGAGTTTTGACTGGTTTTGGTAAGTTAAACCAAAGAAATGCTGGACGTATACCTCAAGAAAAACATGAAATAGGAAAAAATTAGATATGGAAATATCTGGAACCTTTACATTAAATGGAGATTCTTTGAACTTTAAAAGCTGACACATCTCATTTTACCCATTTAACTTTCTCTACAGAACCATTGACTAAAATGACTTTTTAAGAAAGTGGCTCTTCTAAAGAATCATGCAAATGATTTTAAGAATGTGGGTTAGATTACTTAAGATTAGATAAAGTAGTCATTATAGTAACAGTAAGTAATAGTTCAGACAGGATATTATCAGGTCCTCAGAGCATAGGTAACACACATTTACCAGCATGAAAACTCTTGTTCACCAGAGGAGAAAGCCGGATAAAGATACTGACTTAACTTTCCTAATAAGTGTGAATTTCCAGTATTGCCAAGTCTAAATTTTTACTGAACAATGAGGCACTGTAAGCAGGAGTGGAACAGAAACTGTGAGGTTTCTGTAACCTTAACTGGCAAAACTGAGCACAAGGAGCCACACATCAAAACAGGTAAATCACTGAGCAAGGGCTTTGTGAAAAGACATCCTTTTGCACGCATCACTTTTACAGCACACCTACAAAGCAGAAGTGAAATTATTGGTGCATTTTCTCATACTGCCAGGAGGGGCCCTCAGAGTGAGTGGGTTTATAATTAGACGACAAAATAGGGACCCGAAACCAAGAGAAACAGATGATGTCATCACTTATTTCCTGCATTATTGGCTAATATTGCAAAACTTGACTCTTTTTTGTGCCTTTTCTTAACATCTGCACATGTAGAAAGGGACAGAAATAACTGGCACTACATCAAGAACTGAAAGCAAGTTCAGCCATAAATTGAATGTACACAACTACCTCAAATGTGGTTGATTAACCAAGATATATTTGCTTCTTTAGTTTTTTTATTGGAGCTACAAAGCTAATGTAGCTATTGAATAATAAAAAACCTATATCTCACCAAGTAGCAACAATTTACCAAATATTTCACCAATAAATCATCAAACACTTGCCTTGAAACGTGTTGTGTTGTTGTAGTAGTCATCTTGAAGCTTAAATTTTGGCTGTATGTCAGTGTGTTTTTATAGATAGGGTCAGAAATCACATAAGCAAGTCTATCTGAGATTGCTTACAACTTGGTATGATTTGTGAGTGATCTCAAGTGGGTGATGATACAGGCATGCAGTCTGCATGATGACATAAGCTTCCATTAGCTGTGTAGCTCCCATGCAAAACTAAAGAAGCAAACAACATACATCGAAACGTCTTGGCTGAGGAAAATTGTGTACATTTGACTTTTGGTTAAACTCTCTTTAAAGAACCTTCGGTAAAAACATCTTTCACAAAATCCTGCAGAATTCTCCACTTACCCCTTGTGTGTTTGGTGTCCAAATTTTGCTTCAGTTTAGCACTGGAGCTACGAAGCTAACATTGCTAACAAACACTAGTCGATGATCACCCAAATCTTCTGCAGTCTCTCAGCCTGCTTAAACTGCATCCAGTCTTTATTAAGGTCACAGGACTTGATGTAGTTTCAGACACTGTTTGACTGACTGTGAACTATAAAGATGAACATAACTTCATGTAGCTGAATGCCGCAGGCAGCCATTTAAGACTCTGCTAACTCCTCTGCAGAATCCAGTTCACTTTACATGCATGCACAGCATGCAGGCATATGGATGCTAGATTAGAACGGCGATTTCTGTTGTCTCTATTTATAAACATATATCTTCAAGAAAAGAGAGAAGTATTAGACATGTATTCATTGAAAAGATTTAGGTGACTGCTGACTTCTAGAGTTTTTAGTAATGCTAGCTTTGTAGCACCAACTTTAAGCTAAAGCAAAATTTGGACATGAAGCCTGACTACATCTGGGGTAGGTGGAAGATTATGTATATGTTAAAGATATGTAAATCCTGATGGTTTTGCTTTCTAATGGGAATTGGCTTATTGGTTACCATTCGAGACCTCTAGTTTCCTGCAGGACACCCATAGATCCCATTAAGAAACCATCAAATACATCTGGAATCAGTCCCAACACACCTGTTGAACCATTAGATTCCTTAACATTGTGATATAAACCCATCAGGAAAACACAAAATACAACTAGTGACTATTCGACACTGATAGGAACTGGCAGAAGCTTTTAATGGTGTCTTTGATTTTTTTTTTTTCAGCTATAAAATGTTCCCCTTGACCCAAATGTAGTCAATCAAAGACATGTTTGGTATCTGATGCTACTGAAACTACGAGGCTAATGTGGCTGACACGTAAAGGAAGCGTATACCTCATGAATTAGCATTTTGCAAGCTAAAAACATGACTGAATCATCACCCACTTGAGATCACTTAACAGCCACATTAGGTTGTTCGGCTTAAGTGGTTTTTGACTCTATCTATAAAAATAGATAGAAGTACGGCCAAAATTCAGGCTTCATGATAGCAACTACCACAGGTTCTAGCATGCACACTCTTTTGTCCAATTTTATACAAAACACCACACCGTAGTGTCAGAAACCACCTAAACAGTCTATCGGAGATTATTTGACAACTCAACATGGTTTGAGGCCAACTTCTGATTATTTAGGCATGTGCAGTTTGCACAATGCTAACTGACCGATGTAAGCTTCTATTACTTGTTAGCTACACTAGCCTGACAGCTCAGGCGCAAACTAAAGAAGCAAACTTCAGATACCAAACGTCTTGGCTGACTAGCTTTTGGATCAAGGGGAAATGGTGTAGATTCAATTTGTGCAGAGGCATCGCTGTAAAAAGTGACTTCCTATAACAGCAGATGAGATCATCTGCTGACAATAGATTTTCTATTCAGTGCTGAGCTCCAAGAGTAACTATTTCGGTAAAATACATATTTGATTCCGAAAATGTCTTTGACCTGATACAGCCTCCAGCAAATTGTGATCTTTTGATTGGAAGGCCTAAGAAGTCATTCAGGCTAATGATGTTTGCAGATGTAATTGGCTTTTGTTAGTATGAAAAAGTGGCTAATGTGCTAATATACCAACAGACTCATTCCTGTGAGAGCTGCAGAGAAGCATGAAGGTAAAAATAGCTGTGCAGTAAAGCGTTAAAGTGCATGAAGCATGCTTGTGTATATGTGAGAAAATAGCAACAGGAACACAGGTGAAATTTCTCCTCTTTGAAAAACATAAAACAGGATCCACCCGTGTGAAAGCATATCTAGCCGTGAAAGCGTAAAAGCAACTTTTCCTTTTGTTTACAAAGAGATACCAGAGACCCTAGGCCCAACAGTGGTTCAATTAAATATAAGAATTTATTAAAAATCAAGTGATTCACACACTCTTGCTCTAATCTTATATTCACAAATATTATACAATAAAAAAAAAATATTCAAAAAGGAAAATCTGTTGTAATCAAGCTGAACGATTTTACCTTTTGGTTGCCAAAGGTCTCCCAGTGAGTAACCAATCAGCAATAGCATATAAAAGGCAATGACAGACATTATTAGACGGGATGGATGACAATATACAGACAATATATCGTATGACACATATGAATAAATATACAACAAATATATACAACAAAGCTATACGTGCTATATACACTTATTGGTCAGGCACACTGCTTGTTAAAGGGGAATTCCACTGATTATTCAAAATATCTGAATCGCTGAAAGTAAACAAAGTGTTTGTGTTTAGAGTAGTTTGATAAAAAGTAGTTAACTATAAAGAAATTTTTACAGTAGTGATGATAGGAACCAGGGGTTACAGTGTCTGCAACACAAATAAAGCCATTTTATTTACAATACGAAACAACCAGTGTACCCACGCGTATTCCTTCATTTGCAATGCTGATAATAGCTGTAAATGGTCAAAAAATAAGTTTTGTATGGGGACTATTTTCCCTTACTGTCCCCTGCATGTACCTGTCCACAATGAATGGCTTTTAAAAAAAGTTTTAACTATTGTAAAAAATTCAGGCAGAGTATTCAGAATGATTTTGTGTACTAGCTGTCTGTGAGGTAGCTTTTAGAGGCATTAAATGCTTCAAACATCTGGTTCCTATCACCACCACTGTGCTGGTAAATTACTTTAGAATGGCACACTTCCCATCAAACCACTCTGAATCACTTTGTTTACATCTTAGTGATATAATTACGCAGCAATTTTGAAAAATGGGTGGAATTCCCTTTTTAATCAGCCTCAATTTTGTGAGCATTTTAGAGTAAATCCTGGACTTGTGTTAATGAAGCACCTTAGAACAGCTTGCCATGTCTACAGGATCACAGCTGTATGTGAAAGAAAGAAAGATGTTCATGCTGTAATTAAACACAGTGAACACTCCAGAATGTCATATTATTGTCAAACTTGGGAGAAATCATGCTGGGAATAGTCTGCATTGTAGCTTGGTAGCTACATTAGCCTTGTAGCTCCAGTCCAAAACTAAAGAAGGAGTGGCCAGACAGCAGACATCTCTTTGCTGACTGACTACGCTTGCAATAAGTGGGTGAATGTAATTTTTTGGTCCAACTGCCCCTTATGAAAATTTCGTCAGAGATCTAAGCATTCACTTATGGACCTTCCATGGGGGTCTCCAGTGCCACATTTGTGGTCAGTCTGTACATGCTACGTTGTTTTGTTTCTCAGTATTAGCAGAGACTCTATCAGTAAACATGCTGCTTCTCTTCTCGTTACTTCCTTTTCCTCCAAATGGTTGCGCAACATCGCTTTGAACAGACTTTTGATATGGAAGTAATTCAAACTGTCCTTGTGGCTCAGTTATTGTGCTTAGTAAACAAGCCATGCAGTCTCAAACATCCGTCAATTCTAAAGAGCTATACTGTCCATGGTGCTCTGGGGCGGTCAGTCTTGCGGTGTTTGTTTGATGACCTTCTTCTTTCGCACTGAGACTAGGTCATAAAATGGGTCCTTTGTAATGCTTGCCCTGTGGATAAAAGACACAGTAAAATTAGAGCCAAAGATTTCAGAAGATCTAACAAACTGTCACATGTATATATTGTTCCACATTATCAAATTTATGCATACATGTAGAGATAAGACCTGTTAGTTTGTAATTTATGTAAGGAGATCAGTTGACTAATCAGTTGTAGTGTTCTCAGTGAGAGATTTTGTCTCTTGACAGAAGTCATTTTTTCATTTATTTACTTATTTGTTTACTCTGCTGAGATTTTTTTGTCTTATGTACCTTTATGATTTGATTTTTTATTGCCAGCCTTAAAATTGCAACAGAATTGAACTGAAGCGAATTTAATTTCTTATTTTTTTATATTTTCAAGAGAATTACAGTTAAAAATGTAGACATTTCTGCAAACGGAAGTTTGGACCATGCAGCTAATGAGTCTCCATAGCCTTTAGGTTTAAACTTTGTTCTGTTTTACTGTTCACGTGCTTCAGTTACGCAACACACACATATTGCAGTCTCATCAAGGCACACTTTGCACTGCGCCTCTGTTCATACAAACATCAGCCCAGCCAGATGCAAAAATCACCACAAACCAAGAAACAAAGTGAAATTTCACAGATGATCCCTCAAGTAATGCTATGTATATTTTTATCACACACTCTAGAAGGTTGAACATTCTTTACATAACCAGCACGGGATGGCTTTGGTGAACCGCCTATTAGCAAATGACACAGGAAACAATGATGGCATTCTAACTGATAGAGAAGTCTTTCAGTTAAATTTATGGTAAGGCTGTTGGATTGATATAAATACAAGCTTAGAAACTGCCCATCTATGATTTTCCAAAATAAAAAAGCTCTTTAACGTTACCCTCATGTTTTTACACAGCAGCACCATATAAGCGTAGTTTCTTTGCCGATGAGATTAAACTCTCCTCTAATATGTTTCAGTAAATCACTCCGTTCATGTTTCCATCAATGACGTGTAAAGCCCCAGTTTCATTTGCAGTGAAGCAGCCCCGTATCATGACGCTCCCACCTTTGTACTTCACTGTGAGTCTAGTGTTCTTGGGACCATATGCACAACCCTTCTTTCTCCAAAAATGAGCTAAATTATTGCCAAAGAGCTCTATTTTTTCATCTGACCAGAGTACATTGTTCAAAAAGAGTTATGATTTATCTAAATGCTCTTGTGCAAATTTTAGATGAGCATCTCTGTGATTGTTTTTTGGCAGAGAAACCTGACTTAAAAACCTGTTTATCTGGGCAGCAAGAGTTTATTCGCTTACAAAAACACTAACATTAGAATAAATGCAAATAACATTAATACAAGAAGTAGTAGTTTTACGTCTTTCAAAGTGTTCAATTACCATTTCTAAACCTCTCCTTATGGCAGCCTGATATTAATCATGGCTATTTTCCAAGACCTAGTTCAGTTAATCAAAAAATCATTATGTTAAATAAAGTGCTGATGATGGAATCCAGCCAATCCATGTGATAGCTGAAGGCGTTCAGGAGAAATCTGGAACCAAACTTTGCTTTACTGGAACCAAATTAGCTTACAAGATATTAACTTTTTTTAACTAAACTTGTAACTAAAACTAATTAGAATTATTATAGAATTTATTAACAATCAAGTGGTTTACACAGTCTTTCTCTGAACTTCTATTAGGATATATATATATATATATATATATATATATATAATGTCTGGATAGTTTCCTCTTGCTGTATCTATATATTTTCTAATTTATTATATAACTAAAAGTACGACTTAATGTCTTTTGTTTTGTATGTTAGGTAACCAAGACTATGGCTTAAAGCAGACCTGATAGACTCGATCCAGTCATCTCTCTCCTCGGCTGTTGAAGCACAGATCATGTAGCTCTGGTGTTTTCCCTCCACCACTCTGCCGTCTGTCTCTGTCTTACAAGCCTTTATCTTCTGTCCTTTACTGTTCGGGTTGTATAGCTCCAGACAATACTATACACATATTTACAGACACAGATATACAGGTATACAGTTAGGTAATCACCAAAATCATAACAAACTTCCTGTTCAGTACAAAACAATATGGATGTGAAATGTGTGATAAACCCGAATGTGAAACAAGAGGATGAGTGTGAAAAATGAGGTCAGTGTTTGAGGATGTGTTGCCAGGGTTTCTGACATAACAGTATGGTGTAATTACAGGAGTCCCACTTACTTACTCACTCACACAAGCACAATCACTCACAGAGCCTAAAATTGGCCTTATACTTTTGAACCACAGTTTGTTCTTTATATGCATGTAATGGAGTTTTGCCGTGAATGCAGTTTGGGAGGAAAAAAAACACACCCCAGTGTCTAATATATGGCTTATTCACCACTAAAGCTGAGACAGGAATCACTACAAGTTACATAACACAACACTGTCAGGATATCTGAGCCACAAAAAGATGCCACTGCAATATTTAAAAATTGATTTATTCATTTTAACTGCAAGTTAATTTTTCAAAGTGAAACTATGTTTCATCTACTGAAATATAATTGATAATAGATTACCACTGTATTTATTAGTGTAACAATGGGTTTAATACATGGTAAAAAGAATAAGATATCGATATTTGGGCCTTCAAGTATCAATCCTATGTTTAAACCCATAATACTGTTATTCAATTTTTTCGCCCATCTCTATACCACAAAATGGCTAAACATGTACTGTAAATATATTAGTATTTTTTAGTGATTATGTATATCCACTCCCTATATCATAATCAACTAATCAAAAACTGTGGTCTGCACTCACAAACATATAATAATGACAGCTCAATCAGGAACTTTCTTTCTTTACTACACTGGGAGTAAAACAAAAGACACAATCAGACAAACTATACCTGTAGTATAGCACATAATGTGCTTATGGGCTGCAAATAATTATCAATATAGTAGTACTGACACACTCTGCATTTGCTATATGCATTGCAATCTAAAAATGCATTGGTCAAAAATAACATTGCTGAATATAACTTATATTGGCAACATTTGCACGTTGCAGCATTCTGCGATATCAATATCAGTACTGTAATGGCCTTTATCACAATGATGATTAACAATGATGATTAACAGACTGTGCAGCCTTAACATGCTGTGTCTTAGAGCTTACCGGTTTGCGTGTGATGTTAACCTCTCTCACACAGAGGTTCTCCAAAGGAATTATCCCTCTGGGTTCTTTGTCCTGAAAGCAAAGTATTTAATCATTTTCTGGCTCAGCAGCAAACCTTTCATATTCTAACAATATACAGAGCAAACATGCATAAATAGGTGTTACTCACTGTGGTGTATTCAAAATAATACAGGCAGTTATCAGTTAGAATAAACCACCTCCTCTTCCAGGTTTTCACTCTTCCTCCTGCAGATCAAACACAACCAATGATCACCACATATGAACCACACTGTATATGAGAGAAACTCAGCCATTTATAAAACTCTTGTGCAGTTCACACAAAAAAACCTCTTAAAAAAGGCTAACTATGGACCCTAGTGGCCAATCCAACAGCAGAATGGAAATCAGCTTAATATAATATGATCAAATAAGTGATTTTTCCCTTTTACTCTGTTATTAGATTAACCCCTTAGCATTCCAGGATTATTACATACTAAGGCTTACTATTCATTAACTACAAGAGCTTCAATGCAAACTAACGGAGCTTTTTTAGGTTAAAGAAGTGTGTAGTAAAACTTTTGGCCTATATGGGGTTAAGGAGGTCATTGTTGACTCTTTGTGTATAAAACGTGACTCTTTTATATTGAGCTGCTAGTGAGCAATGACAGCTAAAAGGAAAGGATAGACGGGACAGCATAACTGCAACTTTCTTGATAAAAAAAATCGTACACCTGCCACAACAAAAATACTTTTATAAATGCAGACTTGCTTGTTGTCCTACAAAGATGAAAATCATATTAAATATTAAAAATAAAATATTACATCATTGTTACTGAAGAAAATAAATGAAAAGTTGAACTGAGGGAGCTCCAAAAGAGGTGGGAATTACATTTTATGGCTACTGTGAAAAATGTTAAACTCTCAACTGTCTAAACTAAGGGACGTCATGACTACATTCATATTAGTTTCCTAGTAGCTGCCTAATAATTTACAGTAGTTACTAAAAGATAAATCTTACATAGTGTTTTTTTTTTTGTTGTTCAACTTGTACGGTAACCTAGTGCAGTAACTTCCCCAACATAACTGCAGATCTAACATGTGGGGACTTTTGAAATGAGGTGTAGTACCCAGTTTGAGTAGCCAGCCTTCTCTGTCAGGGTTGAAGAAAGTATGAGTAAGATCGTTCCCATCGTCCTCCGGGATTTTGAACGGCTCATTCCGTATGCTCTCATACAGTTTCTGCGGGTTTAGAGGAAAGAGGAACATGTGAGTGCCAACAGAAACTCCCTGACTGTGAGCTTTCACTACAATACTTTACCTGAAGTCACAAAACGTGAATTAGAATACCGTTTCATGTTTTTTTTTTTAATCATTTTCAGAATTTGTCGCTAATTACAAAACATTTTCACTAAGTACAGAGTTATCACACATGTCATATAATTACACAGCTCATTATGTAGTGAGTTGCATGACTAATAATATTTACATTCTTTTTACCTTAGGTTTGAGTCTGTACTTCTGACTTTTTTCTGTTTGTTCCAATGTCAAGATATAACAATAACATAAAAACGTAAAGGACGATTTTCTTTCAAAAGACAAGACTCTATGTACAACAATTACATTTCATCAAAGTCAGATCCCAATAAAATATATCTTCTTTCACCTGTTTTTAATGAGCTGCAAGTGAAAAAATACACAAATACAACACATCTATGTTACTGCCAGTGATAAATGTGACTTCAGGTTCAAAATGATTAAAATATAATAATACAAAATGTAAAAATGTAAAAAATAATCCATGATATGATTTTTTGTGATATTTTATTATTTGCCATGTTGAGACTTAAAAACAAAAAGCATTTTGGTAATTTAATAGTCCAATAATGTGCTTAACATGTGTTAGTACGTTAAGCATAGTCCTCAAAGTATTGATAATATTTTCTTAACTCAAAATATCACAATATTATATTGTACTGTATAATTTTTTGTCTCTCACTTCTAAAGGACAAAAAATAATATACTAATAAATATATAATATACTACAGAAGCACAATCATATGCACGTTTAGTCTTCTGTGGAGCTGCTCTACTAATGTCCTTCAAATGAACTGGAAGCAAACCAAAGCTTCTGAGAATCAAAACCCTATCTTGCGTGCAATCAGGTCTGGGTCACCCTCATTGTTCCTGCGTCAAAATATTTCGCTTCCTTTATTACAGAAAGTGATGTGACCTGCAAGGGCTGATTGTGAATGGCTGTTTTTCCTCACCGTGAGAAGCTCATTGGGTAGATCGTCTCCATTGTTGATGCCTCTATTCATGCTGATGAAGCGCTCCAGTGTGGTCTTGTCCTTCACGTTGGGGTTGTGCAGGCTGGTGTTCAGCATGATGATAGCAAATGAGAGGATGTAACAGGTGTCTGAAAAAAAAAAAACCCAACCAAAACATAATATGTATGTCAGTCTGTATGCATGGTCTAATAAACAGGATGAATTTACCACAAACAGGACATATATTTACGAAGGTTAAAGCATTAGTACGGCCAAGTAATGTTTGGTGTCTGAAGGCTGCATCATCCACAAATCATTAATCAAATCTCAAATCATGTACAGCTCATTAATTAAATAAACTTAGTTTTAAAAATCTCAAATTGACTTTCTTAAGTGGTTTCCGATACTGTACGACACACTGTTACCTGATGATTACAGGATAAAAAGAATGACTAATAATAGTACCAGATACTTGAAACATGAGCTGCTTTAGTCCATGTCAAACAGTGTCAGAAACCATGTGAGTCTCTTTGAAATTACTTAACAAATCGGTGCTATTTAAGGCAAGTGTGTAATTACTTTGGGCGCCCCTGGTCAAATGACGTTTTGTTGATTGAATGATGAAGTGAAAATAAGTGAACACATCCTCTACAGAGAACACACTTCTGTACATTTTAATGCACAGTTACTGTTTATTTGCTGAATTTAACACACTGGAAAACATCAAATTTGGCCTGTTAAGGCACATTTTATATTCATATAAATTTTATTTTTTCCCCAATATTTTAAACCTAGCAAGTAAATAGAAATTGTGCACTGAAATTTGAAGAAAAATTCATAAGTTTGTTCCCTGTACAGAATGTGTTCACATATTTGTGTTGCACATTCATGATATCACCCTCTTTAAGCATGAAATATTTCTACACTACAAAGATAACAGTAAAATTCTACTTTGGGGGAATTTTTTTTTTACTTTCTTATTTTGCTTTCACTTTAGATAAATCCCCTACCTTCCTCACTCTGAAATAAAATGTATATTGCTGCGATCATTGATCCATCTATTAAAAATGACTTGTAAAATGCAAGTATACTAGGGTTTTGTGAAATCCTGAAAAACGTGTGGTTAGAGGGTAAGATTTGTAAATGTGAAATTCAAACTGCTTAGGTTTCCTGTTGTTATTGTTTTATTGTTTAACCATTTGTCATTTATTTTTGCCATTATTGCATTCATTATTGTTAGAATTCATCTTATGATCTGATATTTGCAATTATTTCAAAAATACCAAGTAAAACTGAAATTAAAGACACAGTCTATTTCTTGTGAAGTTTAGAGCAACAAAGCTCAAGATTCAGTAATTAAGAACTTATGGTGCATTCATTTTGAGAACTTGTGTACAGCTGAAAAAAATATATATGACAATTAACAGATCAAAACAATTAAAAATTTCATTAATATTTTGATTTTACTTTTTTTACTATTCTATAGGTCAATATACTGTATAACAAATCAGTGTCCCTGGTGTGGAAGCAACTGTATCAAATGTGCACTTTGTCTTTACATACATATTGTGGTAAATATGAACGAGTGCACTCCCATGCAAAAAAGGCAGTATATTAAGCTGTTAATGTTCCTAACAACAAATCATTAAACAGATAGATAAAGTAACTTATGGAATATTTTTTCCCTTTGATTTCTTTAAATGTTAAAGTCTTGTGGGTACACTTGAAGACAAGCTTTTACAGAAAGAACAGTCAGTATTTTTTCTGTTGAGCACTGATGGCTTCATTTTTTTTTTGCACGGTTTCCACCTACGGAGTTTGTGTCGCAGTAGAGAAAACAAAAATGTCATAACTGTTTACTCTACTTGTTGGTTACACTGGACTCCAGTCCAAAACTAAAGAAGCAAAAACAGACAACAAACATGTCTTGGCTGACTTGACTTCTGCTTTAAAATACTTAAACTCTTTTTTTAATACTAAAAAAACTAAAAGCAGCTGACTACAGAAGGAAAATCTCTCTTGCTAACCAGTTGACTGGAAGACGTCTGAGTTGCACTCGCAGTAACGTGTGGCGAAAGCCTCCATCATGCGGTCAATCTTCTGAGCTTCACCAGGAAGACGGAAACTCCAGAGGAACTGCCTAAGAGAGAGAGAGAGAAAGAGAGAGAGAGAGAGTGAGAGAGAGAGAGAGAGAGAGAGAAACTCGACCTGAGAGAGTGCAGGACATTCAGCTAAGGCACAGTACTGGCTAGTGTGCAAGGCACTTATTTTAGATGATCGTTCTTCATATAAGTCACTTCAGGCCTTCTTTATTTCTAACTGCACATGACTGATCTGTCAGTAATCTTCAAAGTATTTCATCTCTGACATAGCAAAACCTAAAGGGTCCAAAAAAGAGAAACATTTTTGACTTTCATGTACATTAATGTGACTAGATTTGACTAAACTGAAATTTATTACAACCTATCTATCTATCTATCCATCCATCCATCCATCCACCCACTGCCAAGTAGTTTTGGATCATTTAAACTGGTCTATTCTTCATAAACTGTTCAATGTAAAGAGCAGCTGGTGCTTTCAAATGGTGTTAAAAAATCAGGTTTTGGTTGGACAGCAATGATATAAACTGAAAATTACAAGCTATTAGCTTGTAATAGCTACTGCTCTTCTGCTCAGTGAATGAGGATGAGAATAACATATATGGTAAATAATCAATAATAAATGAAAAAATTCACACACAGAATCAATGACTAAAAAAAAGAAACCTGAGCTGACCTCAGTGCCTGGACAAGGTTGAGATCCGAAAACTCATGAAGTTCCACAAAAGCTTTCAGTATCTGTAGGTGCATCTCCTCTCTGTGAAGGACAAAGAGAGTTCACCAGGTTTAAATTGTTGGCCACATCATGCAAGAGAGATATCAGCCTAACAGCACAGAACACAAGAGGACACAAGCAGCACTGATAAAATTCCCCTGGGCTATATCTGATCAAAAAGCTACCTGACCTGTCTGCATCACCTACTGTGCATTGCAACTTCTCTTTGAAGTTACTTAATTACTTAGGTAAAACATGTCTGATGAATATGTTTAGGGCTGGGACTACTTATAGCATTAGTGATAATTATCAGTAACAGCAATGAAATCATAGAATTTATAATGATTTTGCTTCTTTTTGAGCATTTTGTGCTCTGATCTTTAATCTGAAGCTCCAGTCCTAGCTTTGCTTCACATGCAGCAGTGTGTGTGAATCTCACAGTATAAACGCCTTCAGAAAAAGTGCTTTCTGTTCTTAATCATAGTTTAATGTTTAGTCATCATGAGGTCATTTTACAGCAAGCCAGATGAAAAAAGCTGATGAGATTTTTAACATGCTGAAACTTTCACATAAATTCCGATACACTTTGTTATTAAACAAACACTTTCAATGTGGAATAAATGGAGTAGTAATGTCATCATTTTTCTTCTAGTCCACAGTGGTCCGAATGTCAACCCAGGAAAGTACTTCAGCAGACTGAACTGAACCCTTGAAAAAAATGTGCTCAAAGCTGTCTTTGCTGTAGCAAAAATATCTGCAAACAATGGTCATATTTTAGAAACATACGTGATCGTGAACCAGCGCAGCTTCTGTAGCAGTTTGCTTTTTTTGGTCTAAGTAGTGAAGCAACAACCCGGCTTGTTAAAAAAAAGAAAAGACAGAAACAAAAAATAAATAAATAAATAAACAGAAAACTGTGCGTTTTACTCCCCATTTCATGTTCAAAAAAAGTGTAAGCGCCGCTGCAAAACAAATCATTTTGAAATAACCTACCAACAAAATTTACTTCAAGGACACATAAAATAAACCCCAAGTTCAACATGAAAAGTCCACCAAAGTGGTTGTCCACTCCCTGACAGCACAGCAGTCTTAAATGCTCATTAAGAACAGGCCTTATTCATTTTTATAGTAATTTCATTAATTTTTTTATTTATTAAATTTATGTAATTTTGTAAAAAAAAGGCATTTTATAAAGGATTAAAAAGTTTTTTTCTTTTAAAAAAGATTTTCTGCATTTTCTTCTTTATTCTAAAACCAATAGCCAATTGCCAGACAATTTTGAAATGCTGAAAATAAAACAGCTTATCAAAATATGTTTTATATTTTCACTTCATTTTATTAGGTGCCTGGACTAACCATTAATAGTTTAGCATTTATGAATTAACCACTGTTTCCAATTAACTTGTCATAACTATTCCGTCGGAAGTTATAATTGAATACCCCTATTTAGCCAATGCAACTGAAATACATGTAAACTGGACAGCAGTCTGCTCTGTTTAAAAAAAGTTTAGGGGACTTCCACCAACTCACACAGGAGCTTGAAGCTCTACTGCAGGTGCTGTGTGTGTTGGGTAGGTGTGTGTGTGGTGGATTTTGAGGTTCTGCTTCAGCTCGGAGCACTAAAAGGAGCAAACAAACCGTGCAAAGCCATGTGCTCTGATGTGGAAGACAGTATTTGTGTTAAAGTGCTTTCAAAAGTTGATGTGCAATTTTTATTTGTAATTTTTTCTGTGTCTGTAAAACTGCAGTATGAAAAGTCCCCCTGGCCCTGGCGCAAAGGGAGACTGTCCTAGATGTCTTCAGTACTTCAGAGAAGGCCTAATGATTCCTGAGAGCTAGAAACTGATATTTTTGTTATATTATAGTTCATTTTTACTAAATAGATTCATGCTTGAAATCCATGATAAGTTCTTACTGAGTAGGGACGAATGTTCGAATAGTTATGTAAGTTTAAAAAACTGAATACTAAATTAGGTGTGTTAGGTGTGTAGTGATGTAAATTGCGATTATATATAATTAAGCTTTTCTAATGTTACTCGCAGTCATATTTAAGTACAATGACATGTCTGAATTAAAAAAAAAAAGACATCTGAACTCTATACTCCAACAGAGGGCACTGTAAAATTTACGTTTTGCCTAGTCTGTTAAAAAGGCAAAAACACCTGAGGTACCCTCAAGTTAAACAAGTTATAGAAACAAAAGTGCGAGACCTTCTTTCAACTTTCAGCAGTAGGGCTAATGTGGACGACAGCCCTGCATCTGAACCGAGCCAAACAAGTGAAGTGGTGGCCAAGAAACCACAAAATGACAATGCACCTGCCACAGTGGTCCTGTTTAGCAAGCATTACAACACAAAAATGACTAAAGTAGAACTTCACCACTACTGTGAGGACACGTGCATCTCACTTCACGTGGATCTCCTGAATTAGTGGAAAGCAAATGAGAACAAATACACGCGACTAGTGCATCTAGCAAGAGCCTACTTGGCCTCTCCAGCTATGTCTGTGCCGTCAAAGAGAACGTTTTCTGCAGGCAGGACTCATCGTAAACCGGTGATGGTGGTATTCATCAAGCATTATTCGAATAAAGCCATGAAAAATCGAAAATCAAACTGAAAAGCCCATCTCTATTACCGTAGAATTGTAGCGCTCTGAGTGTGCTTGCATGGTCGCTCTGAATAAATCATAATCCATCCAACAATAAAGGAATCCTCATGCATCTTTCATACAGTGATAGAAAACACAGTAGCATACAGAACGCTACGATTCTACATGCTGATGCGTTTTACTCTTGCCAGCAAAGACATGCATCACTTCTCCTATTCAATAGAGTTAAAAATAAACCCTATCTAGCGAGGCATGCTGTCTGAGGCTGTACGAATGAAAGCTGAGTAAAACTTAAATCAGAACTAGAAGCTCCTCCATTGCTGCTACTTTTATTAGGGTTTACTATTGTACATGAGGAATCATATGACCACCTCACAACATCCAGAGAATCTGCCTACTTTCAAGGTTCTGTTGTGTGATGGGAAACAGACTTAAACACGGTATAGACAGTCCTGGGTTCTGATTAGTAAAAAAAAAACACCATAAGACTGGTCTTATATAAGTCCGAATGGCATTATATACATACAGTGGTGCCAGGGATGCCTACAGTAAAATCAACATACATAGAAGGTAGTTCTATTTGGGCTTTACAGTAATCACTGTAATTATTAAAAGTGTGATGCATTACCTCTCTCCTAAGAAGTCTCCTATAGCAGTCTTATTGAGGCCCTCTTCTTTGTAGAGGAATTCCGCTACAGTCTGGGGTTGCCACTCCAGCAGGTTATTTTCCACCAGGTAATTTATCCCCTGCAATAAAAGACAAAAGTCCAATGGTTTTAAGAGACAGAAATATTCAATCAATCCATTCAAGTTCATTAAAATAACATTATATTGATGATTTACTGATACTAATATATATATATATATATATATATATATATATATATATATATATATATATATATATATATATATACACATTTTGAAGTCCTAACCAATAAGAGAGCTCACTTAGCTATATCTACCTAGATACCACATAGAAAAACTAAAAATGAATAACTTGAACTTCAATGCTATTTTCACTGAAAATAAAAAATAAAGGTCAGTCTCTGACTTTTCCAGATATAAAAAAAGTTTCACATTTAAATTTCAATTAGGCTTGTATACCTGTTTTTAGGTCCTCGTTCATGTGTTAATGTTTAATCACACATATGCGGTGTAACTTGGCAACATATGGATGGTGAGCTATCATTTTTCATTTTCTTTACGTAACCCTCTTCCCCTTTCTGAATAATACTATTTCCATTTTGTCAATTTAGCTTCCTAAATTTATTGGTAAGCTTCCTTAAACCTCTTTCTGTCATCCCTTACTCTGGTTAAGACCACAAAATGACTGGCTTGTGCAAACTATTACACAGAACTCTGATTAATCCTATCAAAACATAACTTAATGTGTGTGGGTGTCAAAGTACAGTGGTTTCACTGTGAAGTCTTGGGGTTAGATGGAGGAGTAGGAATCGATGAACAGGTATTACATATTCTAAACAAGGCTGTCTGAGGGTTATTTAGTGTTGGTGACCGAGTATATGGAGAGGCATGAAAACCAAGCCTGATGAGACCTCCACTCTTTTTGCTTAGCCTTTTGAAAACCTGTTGCGGATTACAATAATAACAAGGCCTTCTTCCATTAGGAGCTCAGATGCAAAGTTCTGAGACCACTGAGATATTTGAAGACAACTTTTAAATGATCTGTAACATTGAAGAGCAAACAAACAGTCATGTGAAAATGGTCATGTGAAAATGAATTGCGTCTGTTTTTAGTATATGGCTCATTATGGATCGTTCTATCTGCCCATGGACTAAGACTCTTTGTGTTTTGGTACCAACATGAACATTTTTTGAAGAAAGTTTTTATTTAAAAATTAAGCTCATGATAAATCTTCACTTTAAAAGATGTTTTTTTTTAAAGTAAATATTATTTTTGCAAATGTAAATTTAGGGCTAGGATTAGGAACAGACACCTTCTAAAAGAAAGTACCCTATAAATGATGATCTTTTATATATATTTAGCTTGTTACTATCTCCATTAATACCTTGGGTTTAAACAGATCATACCCTAATAATCTTTGCAAATATGAAAGATCGTGAATATTTAATTGCTTTTTTCTTTTTTTCTTTTTTTTTTTAATTAATTCAGTGGTATGGTCCACTTTTTATTACAAATTTTACATTTTACTATGTTTTTTACTTTGGACAATGTTAAATACACCCAGTCTATTGATGTACACTATATGGACAAAAGTATTGGGACACCTACATTTTACACCTACAGGAGCCTTTATCCCATTCTGAATCCAAAGGCATTGATATGGAGTTGGTCCTCCCTTTGCAGCTATAACAGCTTCCACTGTTCTAGGAAGCTTTCTACAATATATTGGAGTGAGTCTGAATTTTTGTCCATTCATCCAGAAGAACATTTGTGAGGCCTGACACTTATGTTGGGCTCTGTGAGGGCCAGTCAAGTTCTTCCACACCAAACTCACCCAGCCATGCCTTTATGGACCTTGCTCTGTGCACTGGGGCTCAATCATGCTGAAACAGAAAAGGGCCTTCCCCAAACTGTTCTCACAACGTTGGAAGAGTACAGTTGGCCAAAATGTCTTGGTCTGCTGAAGCATTAAGAAGGCCTAGGCCAACCCCTAAAAACAACCCCACAGCATTATCCCTCCTCCTCCAAACTTTGCAGTTGGCACAGTGCAGCCAGGCAGGTAACATTCTCCTGGCATTCGTCGATCAGACCGCCAGACAGTGAAAAGTGATTCCTCACTCCACAGAATACGTTTCCACCGCTCCAGAGTCCAGTGGCGGCATGCTTTACACCACTTCATCTGACGCTCGGCATTGTGTTTGGTAATATAAGGCTTGCATGCAGCTGCTTGGCCATAGAAGCCCATGTCATGAAGCTCCTGGCGCACAGTTTTTGTGGTGATGTTAATGCCAGAGGAGGTTCGGAACTCTGCAGTTATTGAGTCAGCAGAGTGTTGGTGACTTTTACGCACTATGCCTAACTTTACGTGGTCTGCCACGTCATGTGGCTGAGTTGCTGTGGTTCCTAAATGCTTCCACTTTTCAGTAATACCACTCACAGTTGATCATGGAATATCTAGGAGGGAGGTAATTTCAAGAACTGACTTGCAGTCAACTTGCAGTCAATAAACTTGCAGTTGCAACGGTGGCATCCTATTAGTACCACACTTGAATTCAGTGAGCTCTTTAGAACGAGCCATTCTTTCACAAATGTTCAGCGCTCACTTTTAAGAAGCATCTAAAAATGTATCTCTTACCTTTTAATTAAAACTTTATGTCTCATGGTATTTATCTTCTGTGTCATTTCTTATGATTCAAAATGAATCCTTATAATTTCTTGTATAACTGTTTATCACCTGTCTGTAAAGTACTCTGAGCTGCTACCGGCATGAAAAATGCTATATAAATAAAAATTATTATTATCGTTATTATGTTTGTAAAGGCAGACTCCGTGGCTAGGTGCTTGATTTTATATACCTGTGGCAATGGGACTGAATGAAACACCTGAATTTAATTATTAAGAGGTATATCCCAATACTTTTGTCCGTACTGTGTATGTGTTGTGAAACAGCAAAATATCACACTCAACAAAACAAGCAAAAAAAGGCACGCAAGTTAGGGCTCCAACAAACAAGTTAGGGCTCAAACAAATCTTCCTCACGGAAACAGCATCCGAATAGATGTTTGTTTCTGCTTGCTAGCATAGCTCAGTATGTCACCCTTTCAAAACCACAAATATTCAAAGTGAAAAACCACAGGGCCAGTTAAAAAAAGACATGAGAGGTGGGTCTTCCGTTTCTCAGCTGCTGTCTCTCACTCTCTGCCTCTCTACCACCTCCCTTGTAAAGACAGTCCATTTCAAAAAGTCTGCCTGACGTTTTCAACGCTAACACTTTCCACGGTCAATTGTTCCAGAAAGGGTCAAATGTGCATGATCATAGACGCCAACTGAGGTCAAACTTGTCTTGAAACTTTTTCACATAGTCAAGTGAAGTGAGTCACTTCACAAATGAACAGTAATCAGCTCTCTGGTTTCCACTGAAGGCCTGGTGGAGGCAACACTTATTTTAAAGGGTATCTTAATTTGCTTACATGCAGGGCCTGAATGGACTGGCTCGTTTTTGGAACTTTAAGTGTTTAGATACTATATACTCTTTTTAAAGCAAAGACAAAAAAGGGAAACTCAGTTTTCTGTGAAATGGGCCCTTTAATTTTATGACAAATTCAGTACGTACTACTCACTTAAGTTATCGAGTTCAACGCCTTTGCTGCTGATAAGCCTACCTTTTTAGGATCCATGTTGAACTTCTTCTTGCCGCTAGAAAACTGCTTCCCTCTCTCAAGAACTTTGCTGTGAGAAAAAAGTAAAACAGAGAAGTGAGTAAAACAACTAGACAGTAGATACTCGAGTAGCATGCAGTCTTAAAAATAAAGATGCCAAAAAAGGGTTCTTTGCAGTGATGAAATAGAAGAACCAATTTTGGTTCCCTAAAGAACCCTTCAATGCATGGCTCTTTAAAGAACTATTTTTGTAAATGTTTGACTGTGAACAATCTTTTTTAAGCCTCTGTTGCACAATGTTGCCTCTGGGCAACAAACCCTTTTTTCTCACTTAACAATGACATGATACAGCAACAAACCCTTTTTTCTCACTTAACAATGACATGATAAAGCAAAAAAGCTTGTACTTGTCACATAACCTCCTGGCAGGCATGCTGAAATATGCTTGTTGTCTTCAAGTAACACTGTGCGACAGTGGACTGGATTTAGCTAGTAGCAAGTGAGGCATCACTTCTGCAGTTATTGTTTTTGTTACTGTGCTTTTGAGACTGATGTATAATGTGCACAGTTGATGTATAATGTATAATAAATAAGCTCTCTTCTGATTGGCTGCCCTGTGTTGTGCCTTATTCAAAAAGCAATCTAGGCTGAAACATTCCTTATAAATTTAGTGTGAATGGGCAGGTCTCAACTGCTGTAAGCTGAACAGCTAGATGGATGTAAATGTGTTGTTTTTTGACAGTGAACAGTGAATTCAAGCTGTTTTTGCAGCTTAGTTTCCATATATTGACAGTATGTAGTGATACATTTTTCAACTTTACATAGCAACTTTATGTTGTATGCCTACATACTACACCACACTCTTTTGTTTTATTGAACTGAACTGAGGAAATTGAGTTTTTCCATGATATGGTCCCTTTAACACATTCCCAGTGAACAGTGAGAGTCATGCTGGTTTGCTTCTTAAATGATCACCACAGCAAATGAAAGCGACTGTTCACTTACTTCTCTTCTGCAGACTCGAAATCCTGAATTTCAGCCATTACGTTCTCTATCTCCCACTTCAGCTTCTGCAAAAACAGTTTCAGCACAACGTGACTCACTGTCACACATGCATGAGACACCAAGGCAACAGCACAAGTTCCAGAAAGATCCTTTTAACTTGCAGTGTAAAATGTCAAAAAGAATGATATTTAAAAAATAAGGGGTGATATGAGAAAATATATATATATAATACACAACACTTTAAGGTATTTTCTCGATAGACAGTATGCAAGTTTAAACAGACAAAAAAGCCCCAGTGGTTTTACATTTAAAAGCACAATTAAAAGTTACAAATTCAATTATTTTGACATATTTTTAACATTTCACACACTGTATTGCATTAAAGCCAATTAAACAGGACAATTTTTTGCTGCTTCTGTATTGAAATATGTAGTTTGTCAGTTTTCGTTGAATACTCACGACATCAAAGATATGCTCAGAAAAGAATATTGTGTTGAGACAATTTATCACAATAACAATAAATATCGTGATACTGAATAGTTTTTTTCTTTAAAAATTAAACTCAAGATACACCTAAATCTTTACACTTTAAAAGAAATCACAACTTAATAAAACAACATTGAAAAAAATGTAAAAACTGTAAGAATTATTTTCACAAGTCGAAATTTAGGGGTTAGGGTTTGGGACAGACATCTCCCAATAGTAAGTAAGTACCTTCAAATTGATGATTTTGTATGTATGTAGCTTATTAGTGTCTTAGTTAATGCCTTGGGTTTAAACAGATCACAAGACAATCTTTATAAATATCAAAGGCCTGAATATTTTTTATTTTTTTTTTAAATAGTTTCTACTGTGGGACCACAATTAAATTTGGTAGAATGATCAACATATACAATTAAATGGCATATAATAAATGTATGATAAATATGGGCCCTAAATTGTGTTATACACTCTCTATTAAGGCCACCGCCTTTGTAAAGACTTAATAAACTGAAACTAAATGTGATGAATTCATAAAGATGGTGAATGTTTCTTCCGTTAAACCTCTATGAGCAGAGTGTAAAATAAAGTTGAGCTTGATTGTTATCAGCACTCTCTTACAGCGACACATTCTATGTGGTATAACTACACTGTGAACTATCTGCTATGTGATGCGTCTGCTGTGCAGTAGACTAATGCACCATTTATTATGCTTGAAAGGATGAAGCAAAACCAAAAATTAAGCAGTAAGACAAGAAAACATGATAAAATTTGACAACAATTTGAAAAACAATCAAATTCTTATACGGTTTAAAACCAACTGGATTGATCTTTTACTAACAGTGTTAGCTTTCATTCCTGAAGCATTGCTTTAAGTACCTGAATGTCATCCAGGAGGTCCTGCTTGTGCAACTTCAGGTTTTCTATCTCCCGCCTCTCCTCCATGGAGAAATCCGACGGCACTTAAACACACACACAAACACACGTTAACCTACATGCACTCTGGAGCAGGGGGCATCATATCTGTCTCTGATTCTGAACCTAAATTCAGGTCGACATTTAGTGACACCTGACCTCATTTATATATTTGGCTAATGAAATCAAAACTGAAACCCACAAGAAGGTCAAAAGCTAACTTTATTTATACTTATTAATATGTTTAATTGTGCAAGGATGGCATACATAACATTTAATGTTCAGGCCAAATATCCAGCTTTACGATTTCAGTGCAAATTAATTGTGAAAATGTGTGAGAGTCAATTGAATGTTCAATTCAGAGTCAGTCTAGAGTGAATACATCTACATCAGATCAAAGGATGGCTTTGTTTGTTGCCGTTTCCGGACTCAGCATGCGCAAGTGTTTGCCTGTGGTCATGCGCGTCTGGAGTTTGTGTTAGTGTGTGAAGGGTGTAGCTGACCAGTGGTTATAACGCTGCTAAAAAATGCAACGTGTTTCTCAGTTTTAGGAGGAAAATGGTTTGAATGTCTCATGCTTCTTGGAGACACTTCGTATAGACTTTTTGTTTTGACTGCTGCAAAACTCTAAATTCAGAATCACATAGCAGGACGGACAGTTTTCAATCTTTCTGACAACTTGTTTCTGATTCTCAAGTCATTATTTTGTCCTATCTTGACTTTTGATGAGATGAGACAGCAAAAGCTAACTCCCTCCACATTGATACTTTCATATGGCCAAAAGTATGTGGACATCCCTCCTTATTACTGAGCACAGGTGTATAAAATTAAGCACATAGCCATCCAATCTCCATAGACAAACATCAGCAGTAGAGTTGTATTAAAGAGCTCAGTGACTTTAAACATTTCACTTTCATAGGATTTGCCACCTTTGCCACAAGTCAGTTAGTACATTTTCTGCCCTGCTACATCTGCTCTAGTCTACTGTAAGTGCTATTTTTGTGAAATGGAAGCCTCTAGGAGCAACAACAGCCCAGCCCAAAGCGGCAGACCACACAAACTCACAGAGCAAGGCCGCCAATCATCTATACTCTGTTGCATCACTAACTACAGAGATCCAAACTGCCTCCGGAAGCAACATCAACACAAGAACTGTGCGTCAGGGGCTTCATAACATGGGTTTTCATGGCCAAGTAGTTGTGAACAAGACCAAGATCACTATGTGCAGTGCCAAGCGTCGGCTGGTGTGGTGTTAAGCACACCGCCACTGAACTTTGCAGCAGTGAAAATATGTTTTCTGTAGTGATGAATCACGCTTCACTATCTGTCAGTCTGATGGATGAATCTGGGTTGACACATGACAGGAGAACGCTGAATACCAGAATACATAGTGCCAACAGTAAAGTTTGATGGAGGAGAGATAATGATCTGCGTCTGTTTTTCAGGGTTTGGGCCCCTTAGTTCCAACAAAGGGTTATGCTTTTACTACAGCGTTTCAGACGTTTCCATCTTTGTAGCAGCAGTTTGATGAAGGCACTTTACTGTTGCAGCATAACTGTGTCCCTGGGCACAAAGCCAAGCCTTCTCATCCAACATCAATACCTGTCCTCGCAAAATGCTCTGGTTCATTGTCAGAAAAAAACCTTGTATCTGCAGCTGCCTTTTCACACTCTGTCAAAATTTCACAACGAACAGACCAATAGAAATGCTCCAAAATAACAAATCTTGTAATTCAAGTTACTTTAGTTGGAGACCTGAGTTTTACAAATCTTGTTAAACTAAGTTCTTTTATATAGATCTGAGTTTTTGTTCCAAAAGCAAAAAAAAAAAAAATGTGTACATATCTAATATACATATCTGATGATGCCACTGCAGATGCCGATACATAAATGGTCATAACTGTATATTAATTATTATTAATTTATATTAATATTGGTCGAATCTAAACATCTGCCTAACGCTGATCCATTTTTTAGTGATTATTTGCTGATATCAATGACCATACAATTGCGATATTGTGCATCCCTATGCTAACACTGCCACTAAGAACGTGTAAAAAGTTAGTGTTTCATTTAATTTATTTTGGATTGACTACTTATTGCTAATTATCTATAATGGCCATTAAATCATTAAGCAGAATTTAACATTTTGTTTTTATTATTGGTTTTCTATTTTGTCTGCACTCCGATCCATTAGTTAAAAGAGCAGTCCTGGTTTTACGTGCATTTTTACTCACACTTTTATTTACACACAGCAGTGAGTCAGTGAGGGTCTTGTGCAAAAGTCATGACACATTTTATATTTCATGTTTTATTTTTTCCAATATGTTAAACTCAGCAAACAAATAAAAAAGTGTGCACTAAAATGAGTGCACATACAGTGGCGTATTTAAGTTTGTTCCTTGCAGAGGATGTGTTAAAGCAGCATTAAAAAACATGGTAAAATATGCGCGTGTTCTGCTGCGAGTTGCCCTGAAATAGTCATTTAAAATTCAGAGGTGTCAGGTCGGATTTTGTGGTTTTTTTAATCATGTCATGGTATTAAAGGTATTAAAGGTATTAATAGGTATTAAAGCCACACACACAGGCTCAAAATGAAGCTCTGGCTTGATGTTTAGGGCTCAAATGCAACATCAACATTATACTGATGAAGATTATACTGATCATGACAATAGCAGATAATTCACTCACAATCTTCAGCATTCATGTTCTTCACCAAGTTTTGACTGAGTTGTCTTTGAATACTCACAACAATCAGATACATCCGCTTGTGTGGGTCCAAAGCACAGCCCATGTTACAAAATGCTCTTCCACATGTTACATGCAATTATACATTTCCACCAGAGAGGTCTCTAAACCCCCCAAACTTACATAGTGGTGCCTTAACTTATATTCACTTAGAAAATCAACAAAACGTGTCTGTACATAAATATGCAAGTGGCTTCTCATTTAAGCATTTAAAATGCCAGTTAAAAAGAAAAATATGTTGTTTATTTTGTAAGTTTGGCTAATAAAAATACTAGAAATGCGCTACTGTGTCAGATAAAAAAAAAACAATCAAATTCATGATCAAAGCATAGATAAAGTATATTTATTATCAATATTTTGGTCCCAATTTATTGTTCTCTTTCCATCCTTACTGTGTAAATAGCTTTTCTAGTCGCATTTGTGCAATTTTAGTGTGATTTTAAAAATAATTCTGAATCATACCAAAATAATCATATCAAGTTCTGAGAAAACTTAACATTTCATTGATTCATTTTCTAAGAATCATAACTGAATTGACTCACTGTGAAATCAGAGGCCCCTGTTTAAACAATCTTTCATTATAACAGTTCTCTGATTTCTGGCTCATCAGCAGTAGGTCAAGAGGTAGACTGTCATTGTTTCTGACAGAAAACGAGAATGAGTCACATAGCTTTGATCTGTCAACCATGGGCAGCCATGGCACACCTGGGGCTTGACCCTGAACCCCAGTGGCAATAGTGCTTCAACTAAAATGTTAGCCATAAGTTAGCTGCTAACTGCACTGTCTATTTAAAGGTAATGTAATGTATTCACAATCACAGCAGACACAAACTTCATGAATGATTTTCCTCTACATGCTGACAGTGTAACTGTGCCAGTGGTAGGCCAGGTTAGAGAGATAATGCTGAAACAGGAAACAGTACGCAGTGATAGGTCTAAATGTCATAAAAGTGATTCTGGGGGCTGAGAAAGAGGGGGGTGTGAATAGTGTGAGTGTTTGTGGGTGGGTGTGCGTGGTAAGACTGCACCTTCATTGTACAAGTTGTAAAGGACTATGAAAGAAATGTTAAGATAACCACAGAGAACTAACCTACAGCACATGAGTACCGCTGCTGTCGGAAGAAAACCTTGTATCTCCATCTTTGTCATTTTCCAGTTTTTGACATTGTGTGAAAAAGCCTGTTCCCGTTTACATTGTGTGTAAATTTCATGATGAATGGACCTAAACAAACGACCCAAAATGACTTGGAAGAAACTCTGGTTCCCTTGACTTACATTAAAAGTAAAGTAGGTTTTTTCCTTCTCCTGTAAAGTTACCATTTTGGAGATATGAGGTTTTCTTCCGACAACAGCAATATATTTAATGCTATAGAGCACAAGCACAAAATACACAATCTGACTTCTTTCACTTGTAATTTCAGCAAATAATCTCTCAGAATATTGTCTCTGTGCATTTTTAACCTTTTATTTCAACTTTAGGGTGGATATGTGACAACAGGCTTTCATTTCAACAAATGATTAAGGGGTCTATAACCACAAAACATCATCTATAGCTTGGAAGTGTAATGCTACTGGCTCTACAGTGAGGTTTCACACATCTTTATATGTGCTAATAAAGCCACATTACAGAAAGCAACTAAAGAGACAGCATGCTGCCGTTTAAATAAAACTCAACAGAATCACAGCATATGAACTTTCTCCCAATCACAAAATCACTCACAACTTTTTTGACTTGTGATTTTGTCTACTCAGAAGATGCCAATACAGCCATCATTATTAGAGTTTTTGCTGCAGTAGAAACAGTGCGTAACCTGATATAAGACCATTCCAACATGGCCAATGGGTCAAATCCTTTCATTATAGGGGAATTCCACTGATTTTCCAATATTTCACTGCATAATTCAGATGTAGAGACAAAACAAAGTCATTCAGAGTGGTCATTACACCATTCAGAGTGGTGTAATGGTTCATAGTAGACGAACTTACTAATTCTGATTTCTTTACAGCGGTGATAGAAACTAGAGGTCGCAATGTCTACAACACAAAAATAGCTATTTTATTAACTGTCCAAAACAACCAAAGAACCTACATGTCTTCTGAGTTTTTTTGTGTGATAAATGGTAATGGGTAAAATGGTGTTAAATCTGAGACTATTTGGGACTATGTTGCCTTGCAACGCCCTGCAGGTAGCCCTGCACCATGACTGTACTTCAAAACTATATTTTAAGCCAATCTCAAACTATATTTTAAGGCTATCTCAAAACTAATGTCAACATTTTGAAACAATGTCTCAGGCATTGTGCAAAATATTTATTTTAATTTTCATGCGATAACTTTCCCAGATGTAGCTTTCAGAGGCACTGAACGCTTCGCTTTACTTCAGATATCTGGTTCCTATCACCACCACTGTGAACAGTTCTGATTCGGTACGTTTCTCTAGATCGGAGCATTTTACACCAAACCTTTGAATTACTGTGTTTACATCCATGTAAGTACCGCCAAGACTTCCCATGGGAATTCTGATTTAAGTAAAAGACCACAGTGAAGACTGTTCTGGGTTATAATAGTGCTATAAATGATTTTGACTGCATCACTGAAAAAAGCATGCCTTATAGTTGTAATGGAAACAAACTGGTTCTTACATTTGGAGAAATATATATATATATATATCATCACCGCCATATCTGGGATTTCAGACTATTTAAATTGGTGCATTCATCATGAAGTGTAAAGTCCACACAATGTAAAGGGCAAGTGTTTTCAAATGTGGTAAATACAAAATAGCCACCATGACAAAAGAGACAGATAGATAGATAGACAGACAGACAGACAGATAGACAGACAGATAGACAGATAGATAGATAGATAGATAGATAGATAGATAGATAGACAGACAGATATACTGCAAAACTGAATCTGAACTGCAACTGACACTGCACTTTTATCAGCTTAAAGGGAGGCTCCACCAAATTTCCTGCATAATTAAATGTTTAACATGTTAACAGAATCATTCAGAGTGGTTTGGTGTGAAATTCTTTGTTCTAGTGAAACCTACAGTCAGAATTGTTCACAGTGGTGGTGATAGGAACCAGATGTCTGAGTAGTTTGGCATCTCTTAAAGCTCCCTCACAGAAAGTTATTACATTAAACGGTTATGAATACACTGCCTGATGTCTGAGACATTGTTTTATGGCAGTTGTGTGATTTTAATCCATCCATGGAGGTGGAGGGATACATGAAGGAGGTTCCAAGGCAAAATAGTCCCCTAGAAAAACTCATTATTTTCAGATTTATCACTATTGTACCATCATCAAATTTACATGAAAAACTCAGAAGACATGTAGATTCACTGATGGTTTTGGGTAGTAAATAATGCCTATATTTGTGTTGTAGACATGGGGTGTCATGGTTCCTATCATCTCCACTGTAAAGATGTAAAGACACTGTCTGTAAAGAGTTTGTATGTTTCTCTTCATATGAACCCATGAAACCACTCTGAATGACTTTGTTTACCTCTTAAAATTTCAGAATTATCCAGGAATTTTAAGAACTCGGTGGAGTTCCCTTTTAACATTTGTGGTCTACACCCTTCACAAAAACATGTTCTTTAGTAAACGCAACCGTTATAAAGAGAACAGTGACAACACAAACAACTGTATGAATGCTTAATTTGTTCTTTGCATGGTTAAATGGTTCTTCTCTATAATGTTTATTGTCTAAACAACACATTTATACAATCTTTCATGACTCTGTACTTCAGTGGACTGGACTGGGAGAAGTCCAGTAAGGCTCTACAGTGAACACAAGGTTTACCTTATTAACCTGCTGTGCTAATTCGGCTAGCCTTCGCCATGCTAGTGTTATATTAGCCGTGCAGTAACTTTATAACGGTCGTCTGTCTCTGTTTCCCCTTTTCAGCTCATCACGACCAACAAAATATTCAAAACCAGACTTACGCTGGTGACAGCACTCCATCATGGCTCAGCAGAGGGGTCAACTTCAACAGCTGCTCTCGCTTTCTGTCCTGCTCTCTCACTGAGCGGCCCTGGCTGTGCAGTCTTTGGTCATTTTGGGTGGTTGAAGCTCCAACAGACCGCTGCTGCTGACAAACCCATCAGTTCCTGTGTAAACGACGACACCCTCCACCCTCCACCCCCACCAATGAGGGCGAGCCACTCTGATGCGCGTTCGTGTGCGAGCGCGCGTGTGCATTTATTTTATACGTTATTTTTTTCCATATGGCAATACTGCAATGCAGATAGACCTTCTATACACACACACACACACACACACACGCACATACATACACACACGCACACACACACACACGCCATACATATATATATATATATATATATATATATATATATATATATATATATGTATATATATGTGTATATGTGTGTGTGTGTCAATGCAATGTGTTTATGATGATGAGTTCAATAATGAATACAAATAAAAACAGACCCAAACAAAAACATACTTTTGGTGTTAAACTAATATAAAGACCAGCACTCTTGCCAAACCACCTGCTACAGACTCATCATTTTAATAGTTGATTAGTCTGCCATCTAGTGGTGCTAAAAGGTAAGTACAGTACAGCTGTAATTGTTCAGATGCTACTATGTACTGTACAAGAATGAGCTATAAAGTAGGAATTTAGGGCCCTTAGGTTTTTTGTTTTTTGTTTTTTGATTTTGTCTGTGTTAGTTGTGATACTGGCAGAAAAAAATTATAAAGATATAATTAATGACTTTTCCAAAACAATCTAGAAAGAAAAAAATGCAAAAAAAAGATGAACATGTTATTTTAATTGCTTTATTGAACTGTATCTATTGTATGTTGACTAATAGTTATTTTTATTGACAAGCAAAATAAATAAAGATTACTTCTATACACATTTTAAAAATGAATGAAGTATGAAATATTAAGTGTAAGTGACATCATTCTGTAATCAGTGTCAAAGTCTAAGTGAGTCTAACTTTTCTCTCTGACAAAAAAATAATTTATAATACTGTTAAAATTTCAAATGTTGTCCTTCACACCACAGTCTGTACAGTCCACTAAAAACGAACTAGAAACTAAACTAGAAACTAAAGTACCAAAACAGCATGTATTGAAAATAATTGTTTTTGTGATGGCACAAAAAAGGTACTTATTGCACTTATCCTACAACATTTTAGCAGCACCCCATTACACTGAGGATATAAGGAGTGTTTCATCCATGACTACTTCTAAAATGAGACACAAAACAGGGAAGCCAATCAGATATAATCATTTAGATACCCCAGTCTTAAAGAGACAGTAAACAAAACAGCCTGCTTAATTCTAATGTTGAACTGAGGTTGGAAAAGAGTAATGTAAAAAGAAATATGATTGATTTTTGGTGTTTAAAAAAACACAAATATTAGAAATGGACCTCAAAGGAAGAAATAAAATAACAAAATAAGAAAAATGTTTCATATTGGCTCTTTAAATGGCATCCTACACCATCCAACATTCACTATCTGCCTAAAAGTGAGACGGACAAAATTAAAAAGCAAGGCCTCTATGAGCTTTTGAGGCGATTGTGTTTTCTCATATTATTACAACATTATATTAATAATTGTGTATTAGATGTCTGTTTTCTGCAAATTATTATAAGAAAACACAGAGAAGATGATATTTAAATGCAGAAAATTCATTGATTTATTGAAAAATAAGAGAACATAAGACAGAAAACTCTTCTTTTTGTCCTGAAGTGATCAATTGCTCTTCTTTCACTCTTCGGCCTCCTTTCCCACAGTGCTCTTCTACTACAGGCCCACTGGAGCCCATCTGATGTCCCTTCAGCTGCCTCTCCATCCTCATCTGGGATCAGACGTGCTCTTACAGCAGTGCATGAACAGAGATCACTGGGGTGACCCTTATCTGGTTCTCTTTGGAAATGTTCTCTTCCTCTCTGTCCATCTCCAAGATTGTGCTGTCCATTTCGGTCTGAAAGCTTCTCTTCATTGAGGCCAGTTTATTCTCCAGATCCTCCATCTCTGCTCTCATCTGATCTTCTCTGGTCTCTCTTTCTTGCTGTTTCTCTCTGCTGGAGCTGCAGTCTCTCTCTCCACCTGTCTCTCAGCCTGGATCTTTCATTCCTCCTCGTTCACCTGGGCCCATTCTTCCTCTCAGTGCTTTTTCTGAACCAGCCTTTCTTCTTTCCTTCTTTTTAAAGATCTTCAGAATCTCCTCTCTGCATTTTCTCCTCCAGCTCGTGCTGCTCTTCCTCCGTCTTCCTCATTGTTTCCAACTTCTTTTTCTCCATCTCCAGCTGGAGCACCTTTCTGTCCATCTCTTCTCTCTCTTCGGTCATTGTTTCCATGGCGCTCTCATTCTCCAGTAACTTCTTGGTCCACACGTCCACATGTTCTCTCCAAGCAATCACAACCTCCTCTTTCTCTCTCTACTTCAGAACGTTTCTGTCTCTCATTCTCCACCTCCAGCATGGCGTTCTCTCTCTCTCTCTCTGCCACTGCTCGCGCTCCAAAGCCATGGAGGCCTCCAGCTTCTCCATCTTCTCCAGCAGCTGGGCTCTGTCCTTCTCTCTCTCCATCTCCAGCAGCGTTTTTTCTCTCTCAAACTCCTCCTGCATCTTTCTGTCCATCTCTTCTCTCTCTTCTGTCATCGTTTCCATGGCGCTCTTATTCTCCAGAAACTGCTTGGACCACATGTCCACATGTTCTCTCCAAGCAGCCACGACCTCCTCTTTCTTTCTCTCTACTTCAGCACGTTTCTGTCGCTCGTTCTCCACCTCCAGCATGATGTTCTCTCTCTCTCTCTGCCACTGCTCGCGCTCCAAAGCCATGGAGGCCTCCAGCTTCTCCATCTTCTCCAGCAGCTGGGCCCTGTCCTTCTCTCTCTCCATCTCCAGCAGCTTTTTCTCTCTCTCAAACTCCTCCTGCATCTTGGTGGCCTTTTCTTGAAGGCAGGCCCGGTAAACCTTACTTTCAGCCTCCCGAAGCTTCTCCAGCTTTTCTATCTCTTCAATCCATTTGTTCCTCTCCATCTTCCACTGTTCCTGCAGACTTTCTCTAGTCTTTATTTCTCTCCTCAGTTCCTCCTCCATCTCTTTCAGCAGAACCTTCTTGGACTTCTTCTCTGTCTACATAAAAGAGATGTACATATAATATGATTATTGCTCTATGAATACAGGCAATAAACAAATATTCTAGGAAACAGCATTCTTCAGAAACTGAATGACCAAATCTCTGTTCCACAAGCACATGGTTTTAATTCTCCTCACCTTTCTCCGCCAGCACATCAGCAGGAAACGCAGGCCTTTTCCTTCTTCTGTCACCTCCATGATGGATCCAAAGCCTCAATTATGTTGTTCTTAGGAAAGTGATACAAAGAACTGTATATTAGGCATCATTTTGTACTTTATAAGAAAAGGAAATAATTCCTGTAGGTCTGTATTTCTCAATCAAGTGAATTTAAGCTAAGAAATCAGATTTTCAACTTAAGAGTTTGTTTTAATTCCACTTACCTGAAGGTGTTTTTAGTAGCTAAAAAGTCTTTTTGTTTTCTGGAAAGTGTAAAATGTGTGTGCAGTCGCTACTCAGACAAAACAAGTTTTGCTCGAAGTTTCCACTGCAGCTCCTTTTTCAGTGTGTGATGACGTCATAATACGACATCATAAAGTCCCAGTTGCCATGGCATCCACCTATTTCTTTGTACTGTTAGCGCTCCGATGACGTCACAATCTCGCTGCTCCCATTTTGGCGCCAACTTCAAGTTCATTCAGCGGTGCCATGTCTGTTTGTAATGAAATAATAAAGCCATAACCGATCCAGCAAAGACAGTAATTCACGGTTTGAATCTTTTTAAATCTTAAAGCGCATTAATCAGTGTCATTAGATCAGCCAGTGAGACGCGATCAGCAGCTCGCTGATCAGCAGCAGCTTGAGGTTAGCCGATGTTGGCTTCGTATTCACCAACTTTTGAAATTCGTTCTGCATTTAAGGAACCTCAGTGTAACTGCAGCTCCATTTAAGGTGGAACGGAAAATTCAAATGAGAAACTGGCGAATAAGAAGCTGACTTGAGCTTAATGTTTATGTAGCTATGAGTTCATTATTTAAGTGCTGTGGCGGCCACTTTTATTAGAATTTATAAGTAATACTAATAGATACCAATGCTAATCCTGTTCTCGTAACGTTTTCTGGAGACTCATCTAAAGCGTCTCTATGTCTTTAAATCTTTTTAGTGGTCATTCTGGTCTATTTCACTTGGATTTTATCCACTTGCAGGGCTGTAAATGCAGTAAAGGTGAGGAGACGAGCTCTATCAGATCACAGTCAGAGTCACAGCTCGCCTTCCAAAATGGCGACGTGGTCTTCTTAATGAAGTAACAGAAAACTATGAATAACAGACTTGATGATCATTGAACACTGACCCAACATACTAATGCTAGCAGGTGTGTCTTTCCATGCAAACTGACCTGGAGCCCTGATCTGGTCACATCAGAGCTTCTGAGCTGAGCTGAAATATTGACTGAGTATGAATATAACACTAAGAATATATATGTTAACACATTCATCCAGACTAGATTTTTGAAAACATAATTTTTATGCCATATTGTGCAATATTACTCATATTTCCTTAAAGAGCCCATATCCTACATTTTTCTTGTATTTTTATTTTTCCCCTGAGGCAAACTTATGATGTTTTGTGGGTTTATGTACCACAAACGGTCATAATTCCTTTTTACTTGATCAGTTTATGAATGTTTCATATCCCTTACAATGAAACAGACTGTTTTTAGTACAGTGTCTTTAGAGGGAAAGTCCATACATTTTTTTAAAAAGTCTGCATAATTTAATCTTTGAGATGCAAACAACGTCAGTCAGAGAGGTTTGAGGTGAAATGGTTCACTGTAAAGAAACATGCCAACTCAGAATTCTTTACAGTGGTGGTGATAGGACCCCGGAGTCACAGTGTCTACACCACAAATGTAGACGTTTAATTTACTCTCCAAAACAGCCAGTGACCCCACACCTGACCTCTCAGTTTTATATGTAATGTTTCTGATTGTAAAATAGTGATAAATCCGATAAAAAAAGTAACAATGTCTCCGGTATCAGGCAGTGTATTCATAACCATTTAGTATAATAACTTTCTGTGAAAGAGCTTTTAAATTCTTCAGACGTCTGGTTACTGTCACCACCACTATGAACAATTCTGAGTCTGTAAGGTTCT